CCTAGAAATCACACGATGTTGTGCATATGTCACATTATCGAAGAATAAGAAACAGGAAAACACCTGCAATCTCAGCGTTTTTTTCAGATATTTTTAAGACTCGCTTTCCTTTGTGTACATTGAGTACTTTATAAGTGTCAGCCGTATTATGTGGAGTAAATGAAAAAACTTATTTTTTTATACAAACATGGTTAGTTTTCTAAACCCCATGAAGCCATTTACCAGAAGCACAACACATGCTGTCATACTCATGGCCACACGGGAGATGAAAATCAAACTTTGTTATTTACATAAACCCTGTTACTGGTCAACTCCGTTCCACGGTGGCTCAGCGCTACGAGCAAGCGGCTTGTAGTCAGGAGGAGGGTGTGAGTTCACATCCTGGTTGGGGGTTGTCTCAGCCCATCATAGCTCCGTGGGGGCCGATAAAATGAGTGCCACTTTGTTAAGTGGTAGTCGAATGAAGAGACTCATCTTTGCCTTAGGAATGGAGAATGTTCATCACTGGCTCAGGGCTGTAAGAAGGAGAACAGTGGATCGCTTCACCTGTTACAGGCCAACTCCGTTCCACGTTTAGGTAAAAGCACAAAGTGCAAAAAGCACCTTAACGATAGAGTGACCCAGATGTATCCAGCACAAGAGGGCTTAAAAAAATAATTAGGCCGCGCCTAATTGGCTGCCAGACTCTTGTGGCACAAAAGGCAAAACGCACGGCTGATGCGCACAATTAAATGTGAAATTGTGCTTTAAAAATGTTCATTAATTTTGACAGGCAATTGAATCCAATAACCAGTTAACGCAGGACGCCAAATGCTTTGCATATTCCATGCGATCACCTTGATTGATGGCATTGCCGATTGGCACGGGGACTGTCCCGGCTGTGAGCAGGTGGCAAAGCGGTGAATTCCAGCGTTGGTTGGAGGGCGCGTGCGAATGTCCTCTCTTTGGCATCATTTTGTTTCTCGAGCAGCCAGTGCAACTCTTGATTATTACAATGAGCGGCCAGATTGCTTTCATTATCACAGCAGAAGCTCTCCGAATCGCACAATTAACGATGAGTCACAGAGGACCTGAGCAAGCGATGTAAGAGGTGGGGGAGCAAGTGCCCTTATATTTTTTCATCGCGATTTATTTCATTTCAGACAGGTTAATTGCTGTCAGGGCATTTGCCATATTTAATGTTTGTCCTCATTACATTCTACTCGTATTTGACGTGCTCAAATTTGTGTGATTTACTGTCCAACTGTGTTTACTTTCCACGTTGGAAATGTTTATGTTTTCATCAACAGATCTGACCCGTGTTCATTTCTTTTCATGGTGTCGGCCTCAAAGGGAAATATGCTTTCAGTCGGTCTCTTACACATTGCACTGGTCATGTCATTGTTAGTGTTTCGTCTGTGCAGAGAACGATCACGGCTCACGTACAAGCAAGCGCTGCCAACACACATTTAAAGAATTCCCGATTTAGCCCCAGCACGGGCACACGACGATCTGCTGTTGCATCGTGGGGCCCTAATTGAACTCCGCTGCTCGAGCAAGGATCCTCAGGAGGGTGCTCGTTTTAAAAGCACTGGATTCAGTTTTCGCGAAGCCAGCGGTGTTTTTGTGTTACGAGAGCATCACAACAAAGTACGAAGCTACCAAGCGATTTATCTTATTTGCAAAGAATTCGTTGTAATTTTAAATCATCCTGCCATCTGCTTGCTTTTCGCTTTCGTACAGCAACGTATAAGTCCATGTCCAGGCCTGACAGCCACAGGACAGCATTGGGACAAGCTGAATGGATGTTTTCATGAATGCCACCGCTGAATTCACGAGGTTCACGTTCTTTTACAATGTGGTCCCCAGGCTCTCATGTAATACTCGCGATGAAGCTTCTGCACACACACACGGTTGGCTGTGTGTGTGACCTATTAATTTGTTTTTCTTAACCTGTCTCCTAGTTACACGCAAATGTTAGAGCGTGCATCAGAAAGCATCAACGCCCGTCTACAAGGCTGTCCTTCGGTTGAGTGCTGCGCTTGTCAAAGACCGTAACTTTGACATTTAGAGGTTATTTGAACGTACTGCGTTTTCAATTATCCCACCATATTATGAGCTGTTTGGCGTATATTTATTGCCATTTCAAATGAAATTGCACCGCAGGCATTTGAACAACGCGTGCGACTGTTAAAGGTCACCCGCTAATTAATGTGAATATTCAATCCTTCCTGGCAGCCATTTATCTGATGTTAACATCAAACAACTGGTATCATTCACCTGGACACATTGCGGCATTAAGAGCAGTGTGCTGAATCCGAAATAAGGAAACCAGTTCTTTACAAATTAATGACAGCTTGCACTAGTTTCATTTTTGAATGCTATCACGTAATAATGATATTATTTACTTATCCATGAAACCCTGCACACACTTTATCAAGAGGATCGTGCATTGGGATGTTTGGCCATTTCTACTAATGAGGAGCGTTTGACCTTTGGAATGAAAACGGGTTACCTGGAGAAAGCCCCCGACGTTAGAGAAGACAACAATAATATCCTCTACAGCCAGGAGCAACTTTTGCATTACAGAGCCCATGACGCTCCTGTACAACCCAAGTCTAGAACACCTGCTATTTATTTACTTATTCATTTAAATAACGCGCCGCACAATATTCGCTCGCTCACGGGGAGGAACCACGGACTCGGCGGCGAGCCAGCGCGACCAACACTTGCCCAAGCTCTGTGGCCGTCTATATATTAAGGTGTTATTGGCCAAATTGATGAGTGTTTCCAGATATTCCTGGGCTGTCTTCCCTCCAAGTGCCCACAACATTGGATGGACATCCAAATTATGGGCACAACATCCGGGTAGCTCCTCAGCACATCTCTACGAGGAACACAAGCAAGTAATTACGTACATAACCAACCACTTTATAGGCTGTTGGGGACAAATTATATTGGTATGGCATTCTGTGGGCGGGGACACGACCACCAGTAGCACGCTGCTTGCTGCTTGTTGTGGGGCGCCACGGTAGCGAGATGTTAACTCCCTTGCCCGGTGTGCAGGAGGTCGTGGGTTTCATCCCGGCCCTGACGCCTGTATATTTGGAGTTTGCATGTTTTAACTGAGGTCGCGGTGGATTTTTCTCTGGGTCCTCTGGTTTTTCCCTCCACATTTGGCATCATCACGCGTATAGAGGAATTTGGCTGCAATACATTTCCACGTGAAAAGCCACGTCGTTGAGCTATCATTTGTGGCCAAGTGTCTTCTGAAAGAGAGCTATATAGCTCAGTGGGCCTTACCTGGTCAAATACAAATAGCTTAGTTTAACTACAATCCAGGCTGCTCAGCTTCTGTGATCAAACAAGAGTGGCAAGAAGTAAGTGATGAACGGGCTACATAAAATACCTTAAAATAGGCTGGCATTAATATTGAATGTACAAAGAAAGCCGTGTTGCTCTTTCCAGGCGTATGTACGGGTTTTTTTTCCAGCGAGCTAAACACTACTCCACATTGGCAACTCGTTAACGTTCTGAAGTACGGGTTCATCTTATAAATAAGACACGTATTGCGTCTGCAGGCGGATGCATCATCAGTGCGTACGGCACGCGGGTGTGTGCCTGCACTCACCCGCTGGCATGGAGGAATTATATGCCCAGGTGACGGGTGATGACGCATAATCTGAACAGAGGTTAAAGTAGTGTTACGTATCTGCTCATACATACGTGTTTAACGCCAACACCATTTTTTTTGCAGCGCCGCATTAGCGTCAGAGATTCGGGCACCAATTCCTGTTAAATACGCGAATGTGCGTAATTAGGTGGCTGCTGTATAACGGATCTATCTATAGCGATGTAACTTTATAATATATATTAATACTATATCCGTGAGCTTATTCAATTCTTGCCGTGCCATTTAAATTATTCATTGATGTACCGGGCCGGGAGGTGTGAAGGCACCGCACGATGTATCATTCCAGGTTTGTGCTCGTGAGATGGTCATTTTTGAATATTTTACTGTAATGCCTCAAGGGTTCTGGCTGTACTGCTGGACTATTCCACGTATATAACACGCTCCATTGTAGCGCATTTTCTTAGGAAATGTTATATGATCTCATTTGTACAGTTTCGTCACTAAATCTCTTATTTATCAGTTGACAACTGCTATTTTTCAGGAGTGTTGGCCAGTCGGGTGTTATTATCGTGTCTACGTCGGATGAAACTCGAGTTCCCGGAGAATAACCCACGCGTTCGACAGGAGAACTCTCAAACTCCACACGCCTGTGGAAAAAATAATCCACAACTGTCCTACTGCCACGGCCACCCCCGTTCGTTACTCGCCATGTGGCATCTCGAGCAAATCACCGTGGCTCTTTCTCGACGTCATCCTTCTCCACCGCTCCTCAAGTCCCCAGAGCCGTGCACAGGGGCGGGGCAGGTGGGCCTCAGATCCGCGGGGGCCTCACAAAGTGCTGAGGGATCCATCTTCTTGGTTCTTTCGGTAAAGTCACGTAGAAGGGAAGTAATAAAATAATAAAAATAGAACATAAAATTATTCTCACGACGTTTCGGCCACAACGCAAGCAGCCGTCCTCAGGTGAAAACCAGGTCCGTCGAGGCGACAGAGTCTGAATGAAACAGCACACGCCTCGACAGACCTGTTCTTCACCTGAGGACGGCTGCTTGCGTTGTGGCCGAAACGTCGTGAGAATTATTTATTATGTTCTATTTTTATTATTTTATTCACTTCCCTTCTACGTGACTTTACCGAAAGAACCAAGAAGATGAATCCCTGCAGTCACGAAAGCTTTAAATCGAAATGCTGAGGGATCATCAAATGAATTTTGCCCCAGGCCTCAAAAAACCTTTTGGCGGCTCTTCTAGCCACGGCATCCATAACAGACACCACACTCAGTGGCTCGAACGTCCTTTGTTTGCAGGGTTCACGAGGGTCTGTACTTATCGGCATTGCCAAGAGCATCGTTTGAGCCGTGGTGATGGGGATCTCATTGTCCTATTAGGCTGCGGAGGTGGCGGTGGTGGATCCCTGGCGCAGGAGCGATTTCACAAGACGTGGGAGCGCAGCGAGTACTTGCAGCAGCGCAAGCAGCAGCTGTGGGACGTCCTGCGCGAGCTGGACTTCAACCAGCCGGCGAGTGCATCCCATTCTGCCGGCACATCCCGCACACTTTCCTCCTCCTTCGTGCTATGGAGAGATGTGCGGTCGTCTGAATTCGTGTTTAGGGTAAATATGCATATTCTTTGGGTCTTTCGGTAAAGTCACGTAGATCGAAAAATAATACAAATTAAGTGAATAAATAAAATAAATAAAATAATAATAAACAAAAACCACTAATGTAGACTGTATCCTGGTTCTTAACCTCGGTGAGTATACTGACAGTCTATAATGTAGACTGTAGCCTGGTTATTAAGCTGGGTGAGTGTACTGGCAGTCTATAAGGTAGACTTATTCTTTGGTTCTTTCAGTAAAATAATCAAATCAAATTTTAAAATGAAAGACAAAAACCACAACGTTTCGATCACAACACAAGCGATCGTCTTCATGAGGAAAGAGGATTATAACAATTGCTACAGTCTACATTATAGACTGCCAGTACACTCACCCAGCTTAATAACCAGGCTACAGTCTACATTATAGACTTCCAGTACACTCACTCAGCCTAATAACCAGGCTACAGTCTACATTATAGACTGCCAGTACACTCACCAAACTTACTAATCAGGCTACAGTCTACATTATAGACTGCCAGTACACTCACCAAACTTAATAACCAGGCTACAGTCTACATTATAGACTGCCAGTACACTCACCAAACTTACTAACCAGGCTACAGTCTACATTATAGACTGCCAGTACACTCACCCAGCTTAATAACCAGGCTACAGTCTACATTATAGACTGCCAGTACACTCACCCAGCTTAATAACCAGGCTACAGTCTACATTATAGACTGCCAGTACACTCACCCAGCTTAATAACCAGGCTACAGTCTACATTATAGACTGCCAGTACACTCACCCAGCTTAATAACCAGGCTACAGTCTACATTTTAGACTGCCAGTACACTCACCCAGCTTAATAACCAGTCTACAGTCTACATTATAGACTGCCAGTACACTCACTCCAGTACACTCACCCAGCTTAATAATCAGGCTACAGTCTATATTATAGACTGCCAGTACACTCACTCAGATTAAGAACCAGGCTGCAGTCTACATTTGTGTTTTTTATTATTTGTATTGTTTGTTTATTTTTTAATCACTTTATTTTATTATATTTTTTCTATCTACGTGACTTTGCCGAAAGAACCAAAGAATATGAATTCCTGCAGTCACGAAAGTTTTAAGTTAACATTTAGGGTATATATTATTGACACTGCAGGGGCGAGGTATGTAATTACATCACGGGATCGTGGTGGCTTTGGGAGGTCTTCATCCAGCAATGGATTGACCATGGCTGATGATGATGATTTATAGACCGCAGTGCAATGCCCTTCAGTCAAAAACATTGAGGAGTTGATAATTATATACACAACGTCAAGGTGTCTTCACACTATGATTTTTAACGAGTGGCTTTTTATTACTTAATCAAATTGGAAGCCATCAATACCTTAGTCAATGAACCCCATTTACTACCAAATGAGAGCCCATCGAGATGCAAGACTGTTTTGCAAAGGTGACTTGGGATAGATTATACAAGGTGCTCAGGTTTGAAGTCATAATAAAAAAAAAACCCTCAAATATCAACAAATATAGAATGGTACAATTTAATGAAGTGCAATTACCAGTGTTAACATTGTTGACTTCCCCTGAAGCTGTCGGCCGACCAGCTCTTGTATACACTATTACTGCAGCTTTATTATCATTGGTGTAATCGCATATTCCTGGAAAAAGTGGGTTGTATTGTAGGATGGCCAAGAGGACCCACACTGTCCCCAGCACCCAGTGTGCCTGTACATAATAAATACACAGACAATCCGCCTGCTTCCGATATCTCCCTTCCACATAACATGATTTAAACACATTTTTTCAGCAAAATAACCTTTAACACAAACTAATGATGAATATAGAAAGACAAATTAATATTATTCGGTCAGTTTTGTGCTCAACTAGAACTTGCATCTCATAGAGAGGCTCCTTATAAACACCAACATTGGTTCAAGCAACGTTGACTCTGCTCATGAGACACTGAATGTCACCGTCTAGGGTCAACAGAACACACCAAGCTCATCATCAATACATTCTGAAACGAGTGCTATGACTGACAGACTGCCAGGCTGACAGGTGGACGAGTGAAGTTTGATGTGTACATATTGGTGTACATGGTCCTGTGCAGGACATCGATGGTCTGGAAGTGCTGGGGACATCACAGCCTTTCTCGTCCACGTCTGCGGAGAAATTCCCCACCCACGAGGAGATCCTGGAGGCGCAGACGGAGGAGGAGCGAGAGAATGAGTAGGGACCACCGCGGGTGTGCTTGCCTGTGCATGTTTGCGTGAGTGGGGAGCGGTAGTGTAGCGGTTAGCGCTACGTTGCACTACGGAGCCGGCGACACGAGTTCGATTCCCGCTCACCGCTTTTAATATCAGTGACGATGATCGGAACTGGTCCTGGGCCTCCCCGAAGTCGACTCAGCCCTCAAATTAGTATTTGGAGCGGTGTGTAAATATCGCCACTTGGGAGACAAAGGCGGCCGGGCGTGGTGTTGGCCACCCACCCCCTCGCGCACCGTGCCGACCTTCATAGGTGCTCTCTAACAGTACTTGCCCCAACAGTCTGTTGAAGGCTATTCTGGGGTGCAAATGTATGTGTGTGTGTGCACCAAATCTATTTACCACTCTATTTAAAATTGATTAATTTCCGTCTTTGGGAGATTGATGCTTATTACTTTTCAAGGCAGGGGGCAAGGAAATCTAAATGTCTGCAGAGCTCGGTGGATTATTATATCACAGGGTTGATAGACGTGGTGGCGGCTTTCATCCAGCAGTGGATTGACCATGGCTGATGATGAATGTTCAAGAATGGGATTGTAGTTATGTTGGTGTCGTTTTTGTAATTTCATTTGTGATAAGAGCTCATCGTCGTTACGTTTCACAAACGGATTTCATTCATAAACTTGGCAAGAACCTACTGAGACAAAGGTCCGCATTGCAAGGGTTTCCAAACTCCCTTTCGCAGCAGCTGACGGAGTGGCCGTAACAGCGGCATTTTTCTGCCGTTGTTTCATTTTAACTGTCGAACCTTTCCAGAACGATCCTGCGGCGGTCTGAGCCCCTGGTAGGGGCTGCCCAAACGGTCGGTCGTCCCCTCGAGTCCCCACCTCGTGAGGGTACGGCCAGATGTAGGGTCTCCGCGTAAACCAGACACGGATATTAAAACACCGCGGGGTGGGTGGATATTAATTCTGAGAATGATGTGTGTGGCGGTAATGAAATGGACAGTTTAATTAAGCATTATGTCACAGGAAGGCGAGAACAAACCTGGTGCTCATGCATAAATGCATGATGGTGCTTACGTCACCGCTGCACGCGTGTGCCGTTTGTTTATGCATTTCGTTTTTTAATGTAGTCTCGGAACACTTTATCTTTGTCTTTATTAATTCAATGGCTCATTAGTTTGTTAAATTACGATTTTTACCCATTTATTTGGATATGTAATCCATTTTTAAAATCTCAGTTTATATTTGAGTTGAAAAATGTTTGGTTTACAATTACAGTACATATATTTTTGTATTTATGTAGCACTTACATGCAACCGTGTCTCACAATGCCATCAAGAACATTGGGACATAGACAGCCTGGGTGTAGAATGAAAGAAACAGTCATGGGTAGAAGAAAACAAGATGGTTTTTCGAGCCTACACTTAAATGGTTGCCCATCACCTTTCATCCAGCGGCACAGAGGTAAGACTTCTTTATTCAACATTTTTTGTGTTATCTGTTTAGTCGCATAATCTAACCGATAATGTAATCGGGAGAGCGATCGATTATTTCATAATCTGACAGCCCAATTTGAAAACGGGAAGGCAAAAGAAGTTGGGTTGTCTTTGCGTCGCTGCGGTGTGGATCGATCTTGTTAATTACTGAATTATTGTCGTCGTCTTGGGATATATCAAGAGACCTCCTCACATTCTGAATGTTGCATTATACATGTGTAGTGACACCGCGCTGACTGCTGCACAGCAGCTGCAACTGCAGGTGGACACTTAGCGCACACGCCATCGAGCATATACAGATGCTCGCCCGTTGTCGTTGTCGGGAGGGCGTCCCACGCGACGAATTCTCCGTGGCACTCGGAAACTCCTTCCTGGGCTGCGGTCTCTTTCCCCCTCTTCCTTCCCCTCCTCCCCCGTCTTAGTCTTCTTCTCGGACCGTCAGCTCGGACGGGACTTGTTGAGCATAAGGCCGTGGTGAGTCCTTCAGTGGCGATCCGCTTGCATGGACCCAATGTCAGAAAACAGTGCGAAGCAATTTCTCAATGGAAGACTGCATGAACAACTCAGCTGGCTGATCCTTAAGCTCATCTGGCGTTCAGAGCTATTGAGACCTGTAACTTCAGGGCAGTGCGATAGAGTGGATAGTAACAATAACAACGACAATTAACATGTAAAATAAAAAACAATGGAATAGCACACTGGTTGATAAACAACTGGGCATCTCTACATGTATCTTTACTAATAGTGGTAGAGTGCTACAGATATGGTACGTAAAATGCGCGTTCAGTTCCTGCTGCAATACTCATTTTAAATCCTTTATATTAAGTTCACTTGCCTGCTTGCTTGCGCGCTTACGACCGTGCAAATCTTTCGTCGTTTTTTAACCCACTTCCCGTGATCCAATCGAGCTGACATTTTGCATACAGACTCGTTGTGCGTGACAATTTATTTTCGTGAAAATTTTTTTCCATAACTTTACACTTTTTAGGAATTTTTTTAAAATATTTAATTACCAATTGCTTAATGGTGGCAGGCAATCATCTGACCCATAGGTGGCAGCCATCTCAAGCCAGAGGACGAGAGGACTCTAGCCTCCACGCATATAAAGGATTTATAGTGAAAAACTTAGTTTTTACGGGTTAATTTGTACAACAATATCCAGAGCAGACTGAATCAATGCCATCTGTTTCAACATGCTACTTTTATAGCTAACTGAGACCGGAAGTTGCATAATATACCCATACATGTTATAGATGTATTAACATAAAATATGTAATGTGATGTCTGATGCAAGACATTTTTTTTTTAACACAAAGGGACTGATGTTGCACACTGCACATGAAGTATCATTTATTAATTACACTGTCCCTCTAATTCCATTCTATAATCATAATTAATCTTTGAACTGAACACATTCGTAAACAACGACTTTGAAGTGAAAATATGCAATAAATGACGGTTTGGTCAATGATGCTTCTTCATAGACGCATAACTCGTGATGAGGCCAGACAGGTAGAGGAGTTAATTATGCTTTCTAGAGCACCGTAATATGGCAGGTCCATTACACAGGCGCTGAACAAAACGCACAAACATCAAAGATTCGTCACACGCCCACTGAGGTGAGATGCAAAGGTAGTGCCGCTTGTGGCGAGTGAAAGGCCGGGTTGTGAGTGAGATTTTGAATGGCGTCAGGCAGTGTCTCAGCGGCTCGAGAGCGCGGCTTGGCAAGGGCCGTTCCACAAGCACGTGGGCCGAACATCGCCGTTGTCGTCGCTGCACCCAGTTGGCCGTGCGCAGCAGACCTCGGGCCACGTCTGGACTTGTTGTCGGACAGAAGTTGCCCAATTACCAGGTCGGAGGGCAAAGTCTTGGACTCGACGCTTTGCGGGACCTGCTACCGACGTGGTCAAGCAATTCAACTTCGCAGCGTCGCTCGCGACTGACTGTAGGTGCTGTTCGAGCCGGCGTTGAGGCGCCCCGGCCAGCTGACAGTTGCGGTCGTCAACTCTGGAGACAACAATAAGCAGTTCACTCCAGTCTTGACGGCTTCAATGGGCAGCGCTTTCACGCAGCTGTTGATTCGCTGCAGCCGAAAGAAGCACCTGCTGACCTTCATACGGGCTGAATGAGAACTTCGAGGCCAGTATCACGCCGAGGTCACGGACTGACAGCGGTGGTGTGATAGAACATGAGCGGGGCCGTGCTCAGTTGCTGTTGAGGATGAGCAGTGGGACACGACATTTTAGAAATGTTTCCTGACGAACAGTTCTTAAGTTGGCATATGATTCTCTGAGACTCACCCACTCCAGGGAACAACATCCAACAATTTGCAATCTTGCAGATTTAAGTTACCGGCACGGGGAGAGGACTTCACTGTCCCCAACACACGTCACGCTGAATGCCAATTATTCACCATAATTACACCCCCCCCCCCTTCTCCTCGAGAGTGTATTTTTCCACAAGTGGCATTGTTTCATCAAGACAGCACGTTCCATGTTCCCTTCGCCGTACACTCCATATTAACCTATGCACTACCGTAACGTATACCACTTAACACACTGCAGTTTAAGTTCAGCCTTAACATTTTACAAGAAGGCATGCACACTGCACTTGCTTGCCCTCGTCTTGAATATCGTGACTTTCTCTCAGCAGGGTCCTGCCAAGTTCTCAGAGTAGTAGGGGGCAATGACTGCTAGATGTGTAATACCAATTTGGGTCATTTATGGGTAATTTTTCAAACTTGGCAAATGTGGACTAGGATACCAAGCTGCCAGGCAAAACAATAGCCGACTCTTATGAACCACGTCAGGGGATCTTTAATGTCCACTCGTGAAACGGACGGCACCTCGCACGGTATTTTTTGTAGAATGCACCCACAGGATTGATCATATAAGAATATAAGAATAGGTTTTAACCTTTCTGGCAATAAAACAGGAGGTGTTAAGATGTTAAAACATCTAACAGAAACCTTTTTCAAGGAATCCTGTCACTGCATTAACCACATATTCTTGTGGTGAACATGCAAACCAAAAGCACGCTCTAGTAGTAGATGATGATGCATTGTCTTTGACACGGATTGGTCCACACCAGAGGCAGCTTTCTTGAGAGCCTCGTCTCACACAGTGTTAGACCAGAGGACGCCAAAAGGCGAACAGCACAGAGACAATGCCACTGTCCGCATATTGAGAGCTCGGGGCGAGCAGCTACATCGTGGCGGCCGCAGGTCACCATCCACAGAATGCCCTAACAACATAATTTGTCCCCAACAGCCTATAAAGTGGTTGGTGTTGTACGTAATTCATTGCTTGTTGTTCCCCGTAGCGATCCACTGAGGAGCTACCCGGATGTTGTGCCTCTACCCATCATTGGGCCGTCCATCCGCTTCTGTGGGCAGCCGGCGCGCTGGACTGGTGCGGAGCCCATCCACGAGGTGACGGGTGTCACAAGAAACAAATCGCAGGGTTCCTAGAAATATTTTGTGCCAAAATCATTCTCGGGGGAAGAGTGTTCCACAAGCCTGGCGATACAAAGCAGAACAACACTGCACACCTTGCCCCAATCTCGTCAGATCTTAGATGCTATGCAGGGTTCAGGGCCGGTTGGTACGTGGACGGGTGACCACCAGGGCTTGTCAGGTGTGGCAAGGTGTGGCCAGCTGATTGCGTGTGTTTGCCACATGACAGTCAAACTCATGTTTAAAAAAAAAGTTTTATTGAGGCAGTGTGCCGGCCCGATACATCGCATTGTGATGCACGTATACACTGTCAACGTAAGCCAAACTGGTTATGAAAATCAGGGGATAGAAATAATTTCAAACTCATTATTAATTCTAGATTTTTGATGCAGCTAATCTGGCTGTGACGGTCCCACCTGATGACGGAGACTTGTGTTGCCTCCGAAACGTCGTGATCTTTATTTTATTTTATTTTTTATTAATTTTGATGTTTTACCTACGTGACTTTACCGGAAAAAACCTAAGAATATGAATCATTATTAATTCCCATTGCTGGAATTTTGCCAAATTAAGCATAACACTTAATTTAACGTCGTGGTTTTTTATGCAGTCATTGCGGACTGATCTGAGACTATCTGCTTGGCATCCCAGTTTAATCACAGGCGTCTGCGTGGATTTGAACCCACGATCCCAGCGGTACCAACTGGGGGACACCATTTTAATTTTAAATACAAAGGTGACTCTAGGACAGCGAGAGCTGCTCTTCACAGCCACAGGCACCCATGCCAGCCTGCCCACTTACGCACTGTGGGTGCCGCCACTGCCGCTGCTGCGGTTGCTGCTTGCGTGCAGGATGAGGTGGGAATCGCGGCGCGCATCACGTTTGAGGCCCTGGCCGGAGAGAAAGCCACCTCCTACCTGGAGGTGGTCAACGATGGCACCACCGCTATTTACTACGAGTGGGAGCGCCTGGTGCAGCCCGGGAGCTTCCCCAACGGCCACGCCAGGGCCCACGTGCAGCGCTTCTACTTTGACGTGACCGGTGGTATGTGTGTGCGTGCGCGTGTGTCCACCTCTGGGTGATTCCCACTCAAGGCCAACATCGGTGGCGATTATCTGAACCAGTCCTGGGTCGACCCAGCCTCCGAATGAGTAGCTAGTGTAATGTGTAAAATATCGCCACTCGGGAGACAAAGGCGACCGGCCATGTGCGGTGCTGGCCGCACAAACCCATCGTGCGCCGTGCCGGCACTTCAGCCTCTATAGGAGTTCACGATCGGCACATCCCCAACAGCCTGAAATGGTGTACGGTGATGTGCGTGTGCGTACGTGTGAGAGAGCGTGAGTGAGCGTGTGTGTTTTGACAAGTGGGATGCACAGGTGGTTCATATGCCAGTTAATTAATAAAGTTAACCTATAACACCTGGGTTTGTCCAGTGACCTACTGCCAGTGAGCCATTGACATTTCACGTGGCCTCAAAGTGCACCTTTGCCTGGACACGTGCGTTGTGGTTCAGGGAGTGGTGTCGTATTGTTAAGCATACTGCGCTATGAACCGGGTGACCTGAGCTCGATTCCTAATCAGAACTCGTTCTGGGTTTCAGCCAAGCCTTAAGTAAGTCCCTTACACGGTATTTAAGCACCTTACACGGTATGTAAACATCAGCACTGGGGAGACAAAGAACAGATGAGGGAGGAAAAATCCAAACTTGTAGCTATTTTCAAAACATAATTTATAACACATCCAGATTGTGTTCTGAATTATGTTTTGTAAGGAATTCCATATTCATGTGAGACTAGGCTCTAAGGAAAGCTGTCTCGGGTGTGGACCAATCAACTTCAAGGACAGTGCATACATTATCAGAGTTATGTTTTTTGTTTGCATTATGGCTGCAGGTATTGTGGTCTATGCAAACATGACTCCTTGTAAAAAAAGGTGTCAGTTTTGTTGCCAGATAGAAGGGTAAAAAAACAATTATCATTCCCATACCTGTTTTTTAATAACAGTATGCAACATCGCTCCACGCGTGCGGAGCACGGTACATGCGGTTCGCATTTCATCAGCCCCAGAGGAGCGATCGCGCCTTTCCCTTGCCGGCTTCGCGTCTCGCCGTGGCGCGTGCAGGGGTCGCTCTCCCCGGGGCCACGCTGCTCGCGCCCTTCACGTTCAAGTCGCCGTCGGCAGGGATCTTCGGCGAGCGCTGGCGGCTGCGCACGCGCCCGCTGCTGCTGAGCGGCGCCGCCCTGCAGCTGACGCTGCGCGGGGTGGCGCTGCACGAGGACCGCACGGCGGCGCGCAGGGACAGCATCGAGGTGAGCCGAGCTCCGCGTGCTCATCGGAGCGGAGCAGAGCTGCGATCAGCGCGGGTCGGCTACGTGCGGCGGTGCGGAAGAAGTCCGACGTGCGGCGCGCACGTGCGGGGCTGTGGTGGAGCCGCGTTGAGCCGGGACAGCCCAAAGTGAACCAGAACGTGCCAATACGCGAATGCAGGTCGGGAATTATCCGGGATAAGCTCGAAGAGCCTGGGTTGAGTCGGAATGTGCCGGAATGTGCTGGAGCGATCCAGAAAAAAATCGTCTTGAGACTCGGCGAAGATTTTCTTTGTTTGGTGACTGCTATCATTAATAGTGTCGCCTGTGACCAGTTGTCCTGGAATGTGTCTGCTCAAATCTCGGAAGCTAAGCAGGGTTTGGGCCGGATTCGTGCTTTGTAAAGGCGACTGCTATGCACAGACAACTTGTCAGAGACCTTCAGAGGCTATGTAGTGGGCAGCAGAGGTCAGTCCAGCAAAATCCATTGTCCTACTGTATTGCTGTGCTCTGACACCTATGCTCTGTCTTCATCAAGGTGCACTGACCAGCGTGGTGAAGTATGGTCAAATAGCCCCCACGAACTGCACGGTGCGGGGAGGCTCTTATCCAGCAGTAGATTGGCTAAACAGCCGTGTATGTGTGAACGCAATCGACGTTATTATTTTATTTTAATTTCGTTTTTTATTCTTTTTAAATGTTCGAGTAAGTATTAATGTCGCACCACACCAATTACTCCTAGATATAAAAAAATCCCTACGCCCGTGTGGCCTTTCCTCCCGACCACTGCGCGACACCTGCGGCCCCATGGAGAGCCAACCTGCAGAGGCCTTTATGAGAGAATAATGTCTCCAGGGGAGTCCATTCTGCCGAGACATCCTGCCTATTGATGAATCAATGAAGAGCATCAATGTGTCTCATCATGCGAGGATCCTGTTAACTAAATTGGATGGAGATCGGTTGTTGCCGCTGTTAAACGCGTCTGGCATTTTGTTCACAATGCACGGCAAGTATGTCACCGTGGTTTCTCTTGACGGGTAAAAATAATGACGAGAATAATTGTACAGACCTCTGTCAATCCACCGCTGGATGAGGCCCTCCCCACCCACCGTGTCAATCACAGGGCCCGTTTGGCCACACGTCATCACGCTGCTCTGGGGGCAGGTTGGCAAAGGGGGGCCTGAGACTCGTTCATTATCACCCGCCCATTGATACTCATCGTGGTCAGGAATCAAACTCAGGTCACCGGGTTCCATAGCGCAGGCAGCTAACCACTGTGCCAGTGGTCCCCTAACGGGTACGTTTCTGCATGTGTTTAAAAGAGGCGTTCTCTATGACAATTAGTTTCCCATTTTCCTTTGGCAGGGGCACCAATCTCCATATAAAAGATTGCATTGCATTGATGCCCATCACTCGGTGCAATCTCAGCAGCTGGTGCTAAGTTTACTGACCCCAGAGTGTGTAGTGTAGCGTCCATGCAAGCGTTTGTGCCTATGTTTTATCTTGAATAAGTGGGGTTAACTTCCTGCATGTGAACGCTCATGCGTCATAGGGCCGTGAGTGCACCCACGTGAATCACCGAGAGGCCGCTGGTTCAGTAGCCCCTGTGTGCGCGCACGCCGTACTCTTGTGTCTGAAAGCTGAGTGCCTCTGGGCCGAATGCTCGACGGAGCCGTTTAGCGATGCTCGCAAGCCGCGGGTTGCCGCATTAAATCGCTTTTGCCGAGCTGAGCTTGCGTGCGATTGGTCCGCACGTGCCCACGACACGCGGACGCAATTTCGTTACGGCAAGTGGTGATTGCTCAATCATGGTACGAATGCGATGGGGCCTTATTGCATTATTGTGCATTAATGCTGCGTGTCTCTCTCTATAATCAGCTTTTAATGCGGTTTTAGCGCTGCGCTGATAGCGTTTTCCGCACCATACTGAATCCGTGCTTACAGCGCCCAAGCAAATTATGTCCCAATTTCCACGGTGCAGGCTGCGACGGTGCCACAGCTGCCGAGACCACGTCGGCGCAGCGCTTCCCGTGCGGCGTGTATGCCGCAAAGGTCATGCACTCCAGTGCTGGATTATAAAAACGCCTTCTCTGGGACTGGCTTCAGATGCCTGCGCTCCACACAACATTAACAATGCTTTCTAAAGCCAGCCATGCGCAGGGATTTAGGAAGTGGTTTTGAAATGAAAGCTATTTTGGAAAAAAGTTCACTCGCCCCTTCTTTATACATGTCTGCCGATATTTGGAGACGATTGAGCCAAGCCCAGAGATTGTGGGTGGCAGTGAAATGAGGGCCACACAACCGTGACAGGGTGTGAAGAAACACAGTCGGCAGTATGGGGCAAGAGTGAGTGTTTGACTCAGAGATGTCAGGGATTCATGCTGGGCGTGCTTTTCTTATATGAGCGACATAAAGCTCGTGCTGCTGTGGATGTCAGGTTACGCGAATGGCACCGTTTAGTGTCGTACGGTACGTTCCTTGGAAGATTTGCATGAGCAGATTGATCTTTGAACCAGAGTAGTCGCTGCTTGCGAGCTCAGGTGACGGGTGAAATATACTGAAATTTTGCCATGAATCAGTGAAATGCATGTTTTAATACATTAAATACATACTCTTTGGTTCTTTCGGTAAAGTCACGTGGGTATAAAATAAAATAAATCACGACGTTTCGGGCGCAACACAAGCGTCCGTCATCAGGTGGGAAAGATTTATTTTATACCTACTTGACTTTACCGAAAGAACCAAATAGTATGGATTCCTGCAGTCACGAAAGCTTCAAATCAAAATTAAATACAATGCAAAGTTTTTTTAGAATTCATATCCAACAACGATAGAGCGCAAGATTTCTAGAAACGAGCAGAGCACGTGGTGGTTTGACGCGCCCAAAGGCTTCAGTCTCGCACGCGCTCCGTAGTGGTGACCTTACGCTCTCTCTCTCTCTCTCGCTGGGTCTGGCTTTGAGAACTTTGTCTCGGCTGTGTTTGAATGCAAGCTGTTAAATGTTTAAGGGGGGCCCAAGCCATGGTTAGTCCTAGCCGCCCGCCACCTACGGGATCGAGCCACATGTTGATAACAAGTCCTGGTCAATCTTACTCGCTTGTCTGGCGTGTTGGTGCTCTCGCCATTGAGGCGGTGTTTCTTTTGCACGATCAATATCTCGATTCCTACAGGTGTAGCATGACGCGGAGAGGCATCGCCAGGACGCGCTGTCTGCTGTAAAGGTGACATCACAGATCACACGGCATTTTTTGTGCTGTGTGTTCTGTCCCATTTTCAGAATTTGATAAATGACCCGCAATATGATGAAAAACTCATCGTTATTTTTATGGAATTTTGAAATTAGTCTTGAGACTTAGTGAAACTTTTTTTGGGTTATTCGGATGAGGTGATCGATCATCTTTGCCATCTCCGGTTATTGATTCTGCAGTCACATTCCTTCTTTCTCTCTCTTGCCACCACCGCCAGGTTAATCTGGTTTCACCTTGTTGTTTTATCGATGTCCTTAGCAAACCCTCCTGCAGGCAGTCTTGTGCCTGGTCATCTGTGTATTGGCTTCCATTTGTATGACAATGTTGACGAGCCCATTCTCACCATGTGTCCCACCCATTTAATAATTTTCTTCCTGATAACGTCAATGGTTTTTTTGTTCGGTTTCTAACTAATGCATCGGTGCGTTTGTCTATGTAAGTGGTTCAAAGTGGATTTGGACCCCAGTTATTCTAACAGACATCTCGCCGATGTTCAAGGGCCATCATTATTCAGCTTTATGAATCCCTGCCACGTGTTGTACAACGAGGACTTCCACTTTCAATTTAACTTTCATTTTCATTTCATCATCATGCTGTAAACAAACAAACAAACTTCTCTCAAAATCTAATCTCACTTCCGTCTTTATTGTCTGTTCCGCCGCCGAGATAAATTAACCTGGGCACCTTTCCCATGTGCCTTGTTTCCGTCGTCTGTCTTTGTTGTTCTGGACCATATCTGCATGCTGCTCTCACGATCATTCATTGTCTCAGCCTTTTCATTGTTATTCCCTAGTCCACTCTCCTCTTCTGACACAGCGGTGCATTCCACGAGCTAAAACATTATTTCAGCTATCAGTACCGTCTCGTCGGCAAATGCCGTACATTGTGCATTTACGTCATTGATAGAAATGCCTGATTGCATTCCTCGCTATCGGCCCCCGTATGTAATCTAATACAATGTTAAACAAAGTTGCCGATAGGATCCCAGCCTTGTCGAAGGCCTGTCAGTGTCACGGGCTTTAAAAGGACATTATCATTGCAGGCATTGATATGCAATTGAATTTAGATGTTATACGAATCCAAATTACATTGCAAAATTGCATTGTATTGATTAAGCACTCACAGCACCGTAGCAAGAAATATATTTCATCACATTGGACTTACATTTTTGAAATGAATACGTTTTAAAATGAATTTGTAGAATTGAGGTTAAACGGAGGAATGTTTGCACGTGCGTCAGAATGTACTAAAGATTGCGAGCAGCGATAACTCTGTTCTACGTGAAGCGCAAGCGCGCACACATTCTTACCATTGCTGGTGTTGAGTTTTAAAATGAAGTCCGTGTGCAACATCAGCAAATGGAATTACATCCGCTGGAAATGAAAGCCGGCCATTGAAAATGCATTCTTTTCCATTCAACATGGTGAGTATTTAAAATTATAAAAGCCATTCCGCGTGGCTTTATTCATTTTCGATATAAAACCAAATTGCTAGACACATTCTCATCCTTGAAAGTGCTTCTGAAAGCAGCAAGCTTAATTAAGATAGTAAGCCGAGAAAGAGCTTAAAAATGCAACATCTCTCTCTCAACGGATGCTCTTTGTAAAGATTCGCAAGAGGAGGCATGTGATGGGTTGCGATGGTTCATTGACATTCGAACTGCGGTGCGATCCTCGGCTACGGCTGAAACCCTCTTGCCTCTCCCTCTCGCCCCCGAGGGTTTTTATGCCGAAAGGTCAGCACCGTTGTTTACAAATGCCTTTCTGTGTTCTTTATTTTCTTTGGCTCAGAGCAATTATTTATATATATAAAGAAAAAACGAGCACAAGAACAAATTGCAGCTTTTAGGCTGCCAAGTGGCTCGGTGAGCTGAATCACCTCGTGTGATTAATATTCCCGGCGACCTCCAGGGTCTTCAGTTCGATTCCTCCACGAAATAAAAAACCCCAAAAACGTTACAATATAAAAGGGAGAAGCGATTTCAATTCTTTCTGCTCGAGCGACCCCTTTAAAGCAACTTGCACTGGAGAATGTGATGGCCTGGGACCTGTGAGACTCGCAACAGTTTCATCTGCAAGTGTCCTGGCAAATTGAGGCATTGCCATCTTTATATATTACACGTGGAAAACCTTAGCCAGTCACGACGCGGCTTTGAACACTGGGAATAGGACGTCCCATTATCGTCTGGTCTGACAATTGGTGAAGCTTGGTTGAGCGACGGTTACTGAGCAGTGGCACATGGCGCACGTGACCGTGTCTGGCTGAGCATTAACGGATATTGTAATTCATCGATGGTCCACGCTGTGGAAGCTCAGGTTTACATTGTAAATGACGTGCGTTGTCTCAATGAGCTTCCTTCCCGGTTGTTTTTATGATGATAATGACGATGATTATGAGTCGAATGATCATCGATCATCACGGTTGGCTACGTACGGTGCGAAAGAAGTTCAACATACATACATACACGTTGACTATATTGTATATTGCAGAGTAGCCCTCTGCATAAAAAAACTTCTTTGGAAATTGACGAAAGCGACAAATAAGCTCAGCTTTTCAAATCAACTGCATCGTGAAGCCCAATAAACAGGACAATGGTGCAGCCCTGTAATGTTTCGCTCGCACCACTGCTGGAAATACCCACACTTGACCCCACCATCGGCTAACGGTGGTCGAGTATAGCCACTTATACTGCTGGGTTGACAGACGGGGGGTGGTTTAAAGAAAACTAATTCCACACCGAGAGGTCAAATCAAATCGGCGACCTATGGATTGCACATCCAGTGTGCAAACTCTTACACCACGGAGGCTCAAAAGGCCGAATAGATTGCTCGTTTCGACGTTCTCAGTTTTCTGTCTCTTCATGCATTCATCCGTGTGCCGGGCAGAGATGTTAACTCCCTCGCGTGGTATGCAGGAGGTCGTGGATTCGATCCCGACCCTGACGTCTGCTGTATATTTGGAGTTTGCGTGTTCTCTCCGTGGTCGTGTGGATTTTTATCCGGGTTCTCCAGTTTTCCCCTCCACATTTAGAATCAATGTGCGTTTAGAGTATGTGGCTGCTATAAATGTCCACGTGATAAGCCACTTCGTTGAGCTATCATTTGTGGCCAGGTCGCTTCTGAAAGAGTTATATAGCTCAGTGGACTTAAATTTCGATTTAAAGCTTTCGTGACTGCAGGGATTCATCTTTTTGTTTTTTTTTGTAGCCGAAACGTCGTGAGAATTATTTTATTATGTTTTATTTTTATTATTTTATTACTTCCCTTCTACGTGACTTTACCGAAAGAACCAAGAAGATGAAGCTCAGTGGACCTCACCTGGTGAAATAAAAATTAGTTTTTAATAGGCGCTCGCTCACAACACCTGTCCCGGAGTCCGTGGAGGCGGGACGTGAGTGGCCGCGTTGCCGTGTGTCTGCGTGTGTGTCTCAGAGAGGCTTGCGGCGCCGCGAGGCGGTGGCGGCGGCGCGCGGCCTCCTGCAGGAGGTGCTGGACGGGGTCCGCACGCCCCCGCGGGCCCCCTCGCCCACCGGCGCTCGCCTCTCCGACTGCGACCGCTTCAGCCTCAGCAACCCGCAGGTGGTGGTGGACCGCGTGCGCCTCGCTCCCAGCTGGCACGAGGGGGCGGGGAGCGATAGGAGCATGGACGAGGAGCGGAGAGGGAAGAGGAGGAGAAATATTTGAGTTGGAGTAAGGGGAGCTGAAAGTGGAGCCGGAAGAAGTGGAGAATGAGATTGAGGAGGAACAGGGGCAGGAGGAGAAGGGAGATAGCACAGCAAGTTCTCAGAGGATGCAGGAGTTATATAAATTATTTTAATGGTGACAATAAATATAGTTATAACGTGATGATATTGGAGATTATACTGAAAATAGTAATCATGGTGGTCATAGTGATGAGAGCAATAACGATCATGATGTTTTTGGTTAGTAAGAAGAGGATGGTGATTACAATTTTAGCCATGATGATGGTTTAATATGTTTGATGATGGCAATGAGAGCATTTCACGATGTTGTTAAAACATTCACAGTTGGGAAATATGGTTGCGTTTAGAACGGTTGGAGTGCCATATTCCGTGAATGATGATGATGGTGAAACTTTAACTATTTAAATAAATAAAAACATTTACCAGGTAAGGCCCACTGAGCTATGTAGCTCTTTTTCACAAGCGACCTGGTCACGAACAATAACCCAATGATGTGGCTTATCATGTGGAAATTTACAGCAGCCAAATCTTTTTAAAACCGGAGTACCTGGGAAAAAAAGTTCACGCGACCATGGGGAGAACACGCAAACTCCAAATATATCGAAGCTACGACCACCTGTAGACCAGGCAAGGTACTTAACATCTGGCCACCACAACGAGATGTTTGATTATTTAGATTATTTGGCTGCTATAAATGTCCACATGATAAGCCACTTCATTCAGCTATCTTAGGCGGCCATGTCACTTCTGAAAAATGAGCTAATAGCTCAGTGGGCTTTACCTGGTAACATAAACATAGATATGTATATATATTTTTAATAGTAATTTTTTTAACTTTCTTATACTTTGCACTGTTTTCCTATTGTTATTGTAACTTTCCCACCCACCCCTACACTGGACATCTGTGAAAAAGAGCCATATAGCTCATCGTATAAATAATGATTCTGATTCTAATAATAACAACAGCGATGATAACGATGATTGCCATGTGAGAATTCAAAGCCTTCCCTGCTGTGCACGAGCGCGTTGCGCCCGTCACTCCGCGCTCGACCCTTGCCGTGTGTTCGGTGCCCGCACGCAGCTCCACTACCACTTTGAGGTGGTGGAGAGCCTCAAGCAGCTGTATGCGGAGCACGCGGGACACGGCGTCACGCCGCAGTGGGACTTCTGCCTGAGATCCTGCAGGGCGGTACGTGCTGGAAGAGATAGAGAAACTTACGCGTGTCTGCATGTGTGTTGGGGAGGGGGGGGAGCGGTAGCAAGGTGGTTAGCGCTGCTGCGCTACGAAACCATTCGGACCGAATTCAATTCCCGCTCGTGGCCAACACCGGTGACGATTATCTGAACCGTTTATGGACCTTCCATAAGCTGACTCAGCCTCCTATGAGTACCTGGTGCGGTGTGTAAACATCGCCACTCAGGAGACAAAGGCAGGCGGACACGGTTCTCGCCACCCACCCCCTCGTGTGCCGTGCGGCTCTTCATCGGTGCTACTCGCTAACAACACTTGCCCTAACAGTCTGTTAAACGTTATACGGGGGGTCTTCGTCTTTGTGTGAAGGTCATTGCATGAGTAACGTGGCTGGCTGGCAGATGCATGGGACCATTAATGGTGAAGCCGTTATCCAGAGCTGAGGTGCGACATGTCGCCAGACTCGATGATGGAGACCGGTGGCCGAGACTATAAAGGGGATGGCAGCCAGTGAAGTAAACACGCCTGAGAGCAGGCCGTCCACCGTGGATGTAGAGCGATGCGATCAGCTTTTGTCTCGTATCCAGATGGATTGTTGCATCGCAGGATCAGCCGGATGGCAACGGCTTGGGGAAGCCTTCATCCAGCAGAGGATAGCCCGTCGCTGACGATGATTCAACCAGCAGTGAGTTTACAATGGTTGATAGGTGATGGTAATGACGATTTTAATGGTCAGACATATAATGATGCATTGATTCATATATTGAAATTGTTACTTTAGCTGCAGTGAATTGTTTGTGTGATTTTACTATTCGTGATTCACGAAAATCCTTTGCTAAATTTACATTTAAATTAATCATGACGGTTCCTTATTCACTGAGGGTGGTCAGCTGTTACGTGCCTCCCAATGATTCATACAAACGTTGTGAATATGTAAATAGATATGCCAGCTATTGCTGTTTTTAGCCACTGAAAAGTGTCTCTCCCTGAACAAATGAACAACAGAGCAGCGCTCATCTCTGTTGGCAGCGTTGACCCTGAAGTGTAAATTGCAGATGACCATGTCAGGGACAGGTTTGTCTGTATGATGACCTCTTGTTAGCTTCTGACAAAGTGGTATTCACTTTATTCACCCTTGCGGTATGATGGGCTGTGTTCACGCTCAACTGGAATCTGAAGTCATGCAGAGCGGGAATTCTGCTCACAGCGCCACCCAGTGCCCCCAATGAGGTGGTGCTACACATTGGGCTGTATCGCCAGGGGTTTACAGTGGTTCATCATAGACGTCTCACCACAAACCTCTATTATGGATGATATTGGTCGCGAAAGCCTACGTGCTAAATTTAACAGTGGTTGTTCTAGGGAGGGCCTGGCCCCTGCCACGGGAATGTGGAACTTCCACCACTGCCACAGCAGGGCCCTCGTTGAAGATGAGCACTGCCCCATGCTTGTGGGAACGGGGAGACCCCTTGACTTTTGTGCTGATTTAAGCTGTGCACTATTTGTGATACAGAGCAAATAACTAAACCTGCGGAATCGGAGCCGCACGCGGTGGCTCACTGAGGACTGCTGCTTCGTGACAGTTCTTTGTCAAGCACCACCACAGTCCCGTACTCACGACGTGCATTGTGGCTCTTGAACTGTTGAGCGTTGTTTTTTTTTTGTACCGAATTAGTAAAAAAAATGGCTCTTGTTGGGCAAAACAGTATGCACAGTGTACACTGTAAGGCACCACGGCGTCTCACTTGAATTCAATCTTTACACGAGTGCCAATTATTGATAACACTGCTTATAAACCGCGATGAAGAACAACTGCACTGGGAACAAAGCGTCTCTCCCGGGTGCAACCGGTTCATCCCGGAGCCTGCGGAGTGACCGATCACGATCGCTGGCTCCGAGCGGTCCCTGCGCTGTGCCGTTCCTGCCCTCGTGTGGAGTAACGCGTTATTGTAACACGCCAAGCACTGCCACTGAGCTACAACATTACCACGACGAATGTTAAATTACCGGGTAAGGCTTCAGAAGCGGCCTGGCTATCACAAATGATAGCCCAACGGAGTGGCTTGCCATTTATAGCAGCCAAATGCTCGAAACGCGTGATGTTGATTTCGCATGTTTCTAAGTGTGGAGGGGAAAACCGGAGGATGCGGACAAACATCCACACGACAACGGGGAGAGCATGCAAACTCCAAATATACAGGTGTCAGGGTCAGGGTCGAACCCACGACCTCCTGTATACCAGGCGAGGTAGTTAACATCTCACCACTGCGGCACCCTCATTGATTGGGGCAGCACCGCCGATGTATCCGCGGGAGCAGTCGCATCGCGCTGCGTTCTTGTGGCTCTGCTTGGCCAGTCTTGTGAACCATCCCAGACATTCGGCACAACGTAATCGATGTATATGCCTCGCTACAGCAGAAGTGGTGACACATCATCATTGCGTCCATCATGTATTACAGATTTGCAACTGTGGGGCCACGTTAGTCGGCTGTCTTTGTATCTGTGGTCTGGATGAGCACAGGGAAGCCATGCATTGGGGCAGAGTGCAGGACAAACGCACTGCTCACCGCACCTGTTGTGCCACCTGTTGTGCCACCTGTTGTTATGAATGAACTTCCATCTTCTCTGTGTTTAAAAGTAGCTGTGAGCCCTTTGGGACGGTGGCTCTGTTATGCGAAAGGCCAGAACACTTACGATACGTATACAACGTGCCCTATTAAATGGCACCACTAATAATTGACAGCACTGCTGGATTAAGGCCACCCCCAAGCATGTCAATTATAGGGGTTGCTTCACCATACCTCACCATTCTGGGTCATAGTGGATTGGTGAGGGTGGGGCCTAGGACGAGTTCAGATATCACTTGCCATGAATGTTAATTGTGGCCGGGAATTGAACTCGGGCCGCCGAGTTCACAGCGCAGTGTTTTACCCACTGCACCGTCACCCCCCACACCCGTTTGCCTTACCCGCAATGGTACGTTACCACATATTGACTGTGCATGACGCATCAACAGTTTTGTGTCACGACTCTAGACTCAACCTGTCGTAAATATATATCATCTAAAATCCCGTGTCCCTAACCGAAGGTGGCCGTGACATCGTACCGCAGGTGCTGCTGTCGATCGCCGATGCAGACAGGAGGGAGGCGGCTCTGGCCGAGTTTAACAGAGAAGCTGTGCAGCTCTCAGCCGCTCCGCTGACTGCGCACTACAGGCACATGCACAGCATCGGGTAGGAGACGCACTGGCCAAGTCGCGGCGTCTCCCTGCTCACACGAGCTTCGGGCTGGTGCTCGGCTCGCCCTGCGCGCGTGTTCAACTTATTTTTCACCGTACGTAGCCAACCGTGCTAATCGGAGGTGCGTTGGTGTCCCGGTGCCAGCAGTGGACATTCCACATTCCCATGGCGGAGGCCAGACACTCCTTAGGACGGCCACCGTTGGTTATCCCACAAAGTGACGCTCAATCGGCCACTCGTGGGGCAAACGCCGTCCCGGACTGGAACTCGCAACCTGTCGACAGTGAAACTAATGATTTGATGATACTGCGTTGGCAGCGGTGCACAAGCACACATAACAAAATAGGACTCAAGACATTCGTCAGTATACTGCCTTAAAAATAAAAAGTATTCAATAGGCGACGTTTCGGGCAATGGTCCTTCATCACGCCACATATGCCTCCCCAGGCAATGCTATTGAGGAATGTGTTGATTTATTTTGTTAAATAGTGAGGCGTGTTGCCGACCAAAAGTTCTATCTGGTTCGATTCAAAGCAAAATAGCAGTTAAGGAGTATTCCATCATGGAGCTTGTCACGCTGCGTGGTTAAGAACCATTCTACAAATTAAGAGTTGACTCTTTGTATAAATACCACCATGTGCTCATATCAACGAATATTTGTTCTCTGGGATATTTGTTGCCCTCTACTTATTTATACCCCTGGGGAGGGGTGAAGGGTTAGTTAGCCTCTCCCTCTGTTAAGACGAACTTAGGATCAAACCGAATATATAGAAGAGTTAAACAGTACTGAAAGCCAACTGAGCAAGTAATGTACAAACAATTTGGAAAGTGGTCTTAAAATTGAGATCCATGGAGATTGACTTAAATGCAAAGAAATATTTCTTTGTTACGAAAAATGAAGGCTGTGCAAATGTTCAGAATGGGAACCATTATTCCCGAATTTTAGTTCATTTGGGGGAACAAATATGAATTTCTGTAGGAACCAACATTTAATGGGGAACGTCTACCCTGTTGGACCGGCAGGTACCAGCTGCTGTCGCAGATGGTGGACGCGATGGTGGGGACATCCATGCTACTGCGCCACTCCATGTCGCTCCCGGAGAGGGAGGGAGGTTTCTCCCCGGACGACGACACCGGTTGGTTGGACAGACGAACGGGCGGGTGGATGGACGGACGGACGGTCGGGTGGATGGATGGACGGGTGGATGGACGGGTGGATGGACGGGTGGATAGACGGGTGAATGGACAGGTGGGTGGACGGGTGGATGGATGGACGGTCGAATGGATGGACGGCTGGCGGGTGGGCCGGTCGGTCGGTTAGCATTGTGTCCAGAATTTTAACTATGAATGGGTGCAATGATAGAAAGATATCTGAAAATAGAGGCAAGTGCAAAAATAAGTAGGAAGAGTGCCTTCACATTCCCAAATGTTAACGCTTTACAGAGTTTTGTCAATTCGCTGCTGGATGAAGGCCTCGCCATCCCACGCCATTCGTGGGGGCTTCCCCCATTGAGGTCAAACCAAGTGAAGTCTAATCTACTTCCCCTGTGGTTAACCTTAATGCACGAGATACATGATGCGTGCCTCCTCATCCGCAAGGTAAAAAAGGAGGGGTCCGAGTGGGCAAGGGGGAAGACCGGAAGAGCCATACTGGCAGAGAAGAGAAGAAGTCGACGGCCGGGAGGGACGACAGAAAGATGGTGAGAGAACCCAGGCTGGACTCGTTTTCCGAAAGAGCGTCCGAGCAAAAAGATTTAAATGAAAGGAAGCGTCAAGTTACCCTCACTCCATGCCCGTCACGTGTGCAGCAGACTCATGACGACGCTCACTTCTCCATCCTCATTTATACAAAAAAAAACCTCGTTTGTCAGCCACTGCACTCCAGCAGTGTTTGTTGCAAAGTGTAGAATGAGAGCTCATTGTAATAGGAAGGAGCCAGGGACCTATGTTATTGCTAATAAGCTGTGTATGATCTCTGAGCTTTGGACGAGGTAAAAAGAAATATACTCTGACCGACACCAGATTTCGCTATTATACCCACATCACTTGAGGATCGCAATGACCTGATGACGCCGAGTTAAGCCTCAGCATGTTTCACATCATGCAATGCAATTTAATTAAGCATGGTTATATATGTTGAACTTATTACACACCGTACGTAGTCAACCGTGCTGATCGTAGGTGCGGGGAATTTAGAACAAAGCGGCCGTGCAAGACAGCTTGGGATGCATCTGCTGCCACCCTTGAGCTTTGCTTTGGCTGATTGGCAGTGTGCACGGCTGTGTGTTGGTATGCGAAGGACCGGCCAGGCAGCAAGAAAGTGAAAATCAAAGAGGACAAAAAATCCAGCAAGACCCCCGGTGCGGCCAGAGATGGCAAGGAAGCCGCGTCTCTCGCCGACGGCGAGGCCGTGTCGCCCACGTCCACCCTCGTCGACCGCGCCACCCAGCACAAGTACGAGCTGCAGCTCTACATGCAGGTGGGTGTCGGGCAGGAGCCTCGCCGTGCCAACCGAGTTGCCAACCGTACACGATTGGCATGTACGGTTCGTAATTCAGATGGGTCTCTTCCGCCCTGTTCTGGACCCTTCGTGTACGTGTGGCGACCCGCTTTGTCAATGCGCTGCTGGATGACGGCCACCCCAGCTCTTGTGAAGGACATTTGAACATACTTCACCACGCTGGTCAGTGCGGGTTGCTGAAGGTGGGATGGGGAGTGCAGAACAAGGCATCTTGCTGCATTGCCCCCAACTGCCCAGTGCACCTGTTAAACCCGGCTTTGGCGCACGGTAAGTCACCCCACCAAAAACTATCCACGCTCGACCCCGTTTAGCTGCTTAGCTTCCTGGCTCAGACACATTGTGGGAGATTTTGACTCATTTAAATACCTTGTCTGATTTGAGCCTCGTGTGATTTACAATCTCCCCAAACACTTACACGCTATGATATGTGACGTTGAAGTAAAACATTTCCACGCACGATCTCTGTCCGATGATTGTTACATTCCAATTGTGGTAGCCCCTTACATGTACACACCTTGGCACGAAGCCTCGCTGGGCCATGCTGGGCTTTGCCACGCTGCGCCATGCCGTGTTACGAGGGCACTTGTTTCTAGCAGGCAGTGCATGCATCATTGAGCCAATGTTTGCCGTGCGCGCATTATGCGTTGAATCGTGCGCGTGGCCATTGGTTAATTCACGATTTTGTTCAGTGCCTCTCCACTCGAGCATCATCGCAGGCCTCCACCTCGTGACATCCTCTCTGAAATATGGCGCCGGACAAATAAATGTGCCGATTATTACAATTATAATAGTCATTAACGTTACAATTTTAGGCGAGAGGAGCGAACAAAACTGCACAAGCGAGATTATATAACGAGAAACGGCACAAACGAGACGGGAGGCACGAGACAAAAGCCTCCTGATTATTTTCATCGAATCGCCACTCTCTAAAGTGTGAAAGTTTCCGAAGTGTCTGGGAAGGTTGAAACATCACATGCCCGAGCACTTTCGTGTGTGACAGAAGCCACTCAAGTGAACCGACAAGAGTAACGAGCACAAAACTAATATGAATTTTAATGGAAAATATTATAAATACAGAAAAGATGGCTCTTGGGCAGGAGTGAGCACTCGGCTTTGGCGGCGTCTGTCTATTCTGGTCGATCAATTTTATTTTCTAATTCAGTGCGACCACACATTTTCATCTGGTGCTCCAGTTCTCTTTCCACCTCCGCGTGCCACGTCAAGCGTAGAATATGTGGCTATATAACGTCACAGTTTTGCGCCCGCTTAAATATCTCCTAACATTTTTTTTTTATTTTGAACAGTAAAACCCGTTCGTGTGCATTTTATCACGTGAAAGTTTGTAGAAAGCTGCTGCCAGAGGTAGGCTTGGTTGTGTTTATGGGACTAAAATGTGTTTTCATATCTTGATAGGACGGCACGCAACTGTGCCTTCAGATCATGGTCACCGTAGCTTGTGGACATAAAGAGATTAACAAGTGAAATATGACTGGCTCAACGTAAATCGGGAAAAGCATCTTCGTAAACCTGTTGAGTGTAATGTGAGCAACTTGACACGCTAAGCCGCGGAATGTGAAATACGCGAATGTTGAAATTGAACTATTGTAATAGAAATGGGAGTTTTACATTTTCATTGAAAATAGGAACAAAAAACGAATAAACGAAGCAGTTACTTGGGTGTCCATGGGGCTCTGGTACATTGCATCTCATGTGACGGTCTGAGAACACTAAGCGGCCTGGTTGCTTGCAGAAGTGGGTTTCCCCGTTCGTTTTTGACCAAATGAGTAACAACCAAATCGCCCGATCTCAGCAGATCTCAGAAGCTACGAAGCTAAGAAACTGGGGTGAGCACTCGGGTGGGTGATCACCGGGGCTTGTCAGGTGTTGTAGGTGTGGGGTTGCAAGGTGGCCAGGTGGCAGTACAGAATGTCACCGCTTCATAGGCGTTGGTTTTCTCTGGGTCCTCTCGTTTCCTCCCATATGCCGAACATTTATAAGCAACGGTATTGACCCCCCTCAATGCAAGACCCTCCTGAACAAAGAGCCTTCAGACTAATTGAGGCGTTCCTGGGTATTTCGATCATTGACTTTCACGCCGTCTTTTACATCCGTATTTAACCATAATTTTTTTTGTATAAAATCGTAATTTTCAGCCTGCCAGAACGGCCACAACCCACCACTTCAGATCAGATTTTTCGGCTCCGTTATATCACGCCGGTCAACCAAGTTGAGCGCAGCCGGTTCAATCAACCCCCATTGATCGACATGGTGTGGAGAGGCCTTCATTCAGCAGTGGGCTGTTTAATGATTGAATCAGTCAGTGCCTGGTGATGTGGTCGTCTGTTCTCAACCTTGCCGATTTGGCTTTGCTGCTGCAGAGCACAGAGAGATGCGTTCGCTCAGTGGCTGTTCACTTCTTCTACTCCACTGCCCACTGGAATACATCACTCTTGTTAGCCTGACTCAGCTCCTCTTCCGTTCCGCTCCCTGCTCAGGACATGCTGTGCCTCTTCACCTACGACTGACGCTTCAAACACTTTCTTCCACTGCAATATAGCTCTCTCCTCGTTGTCACAAACCGTTCCTTTCTATCCTTTCATTCAACTGTCGTTTTCCCATTGTGTCCATCACTTTGGTATATTGTTGTGTGTAAATGTCGCATTTACACACTGTGTGAATTAAAACTGTAAATGGAGCTCGGTATTGGGATGCATTCATCCTCTGTGCGCTTGACATTGGAACAAATATTCACCGATTCACTCCCGTCACGTGTTCTCCAGTGGTCAGTCGCCTCCGTATTCCTCTTCTGTCGCTATCACCGTGGTGACTGTTCCCGTGATCTTCGCTCGTTGATTCATCCACCCACGTTGAGGACTCGGCTCCACCAGACTGACTGCATTCCCTCGTCCATATTGTGTTGAACCACCACACTGCAGGTCAAAACACTTCTTCTGCTTCGTTCCTAGACAAGCTCGACCTTGCAATTCCCTCCTGCCATCACTTTCCAAAAGTTCTCATCACCTTGCCCAATTCGAGAAACGTATTCATCCCTTTATCTCTTACTCCTTCAACAAACGTTGTTTGTTGCTGCAAAGCAACTACAATTTAAAATTCAGGTGGTCAAGCCGGACAACCGCGTCAGGAGTAGCGGACGTATCGCCGTGACGTCTCCTCCGTATTTGTGGATCGAGGTGTTGTACGTTGTGTTCCAGACGACCACGGTCGCACGCTGGACCTTTGCTCAGAAACCGCGATACAAAAAAACTAAAAGCATCGAAACTGTCGTCGTTTTTCAGGTCTACGCCCTGCTCTCGGCCACGGTGGAGGAGATGGCCGGTCTCTTTGAAGAGCTTGATGAGAACACAAACGCCGAACCTCTATCCGCGTGGAAGCCTGCAGCCCAGCAAGCGACGGTGTCGCCACGTCGTTAACGGATCGTCGGCAGGGGGGCAAAGCCAACGGCGTGCGCACCCCGCCCGTGGACCTTCCCGACACGAGCTCTGCCAGGACTCTGCAGGACTCCGCCACACCACAAAGCACGAGAACGGTCATGGGGCAATTCACGACGATTCGCTCGGCACGGTTCTTCGGCTTCTTGCAGTAATGTCATTGTCTGTGGCGGTGTTTCTCAAACTGCAGTCATCAAGAACTCCTACGGTGCACCGTTCTATTACCAATCATTAGGCGAGTGTATTGTTTTTCAGCTTGATTTACATGTGAACAGAAAATATTGGATCGTCAAAAGGAAGGCTGCAGCGCAGGGTAATGGTGGACTTTGAGAAACAAGTGGCCTGTAGGTAGCGGTGTGTTCCTGCTCGAATGAGCAATGGAGTCGCAGTCATCTCCGTCGACAGCCTTGAGCTCGGAGTGGAAGTTCCACATCACGTCGGCAGACAACCTCTGCATTAAACACCGACCGCTGCGGAATTCATTTTAATAGGATGAACAGAGTCAATGCAAGTCTGGGATTCCAGCTGGCGAGCTTCCAATTGTATAAACACAAACACCCACCGAGATGCACGCAGCAACAACCGCTATCTGGGGTTTCATGGTCAAAGTCTTTCATTGGGCAGCGATGCGCGCACACCTGCTGTGGTTACAATCGCACACGCCATGAACTTGGTGGGCAGTTTGATTCCCAGCCACAGATAACATCGGTGGCGGGTGACATCTGAACTTGTCCAAGCACCCCCTTCAATACACATCTTTTCATTTATCCTGGAGAAATCCGATGAGTTATGAAGCTCTTTTCCACAGATGTCCAATGGCGAGTGTGATTGGGTATGGCCAAACAACCCAGATAACCAACACAGCATGGGGAAGCCTTCATCCTGCAGTGGATTGATGAAGGTCTGCAGATGATTTGATATGAAATCACAGGCAGTGGTGGAGCTCACCTGGAATCCCGCACTGTGGAGGAGAGAGATGGTGGATCTCACAAATGTTGTCACTCACTTCCCGCGAGCATGGAGGTGCCAAAACCCTAGCTCGCCATGTGAACGCGGTACAGCAAAAATGTGGACCTCGCCTGTTCTATCTGTGCGGGAGAGTGTTGCCACTTCACTCACAAGCACAGGTGTCTGTGGGTGCTCCGGTTTCCTCGAACATGTAAATGCTCACTAATTGGCCCCTAACATCTTCATATCTTGAGAACCATAGGGCTGGAGGGGGATGAGAATGTGGCACCGGCTCATCGCCAAGTTGCCTTGCCCACGTCTCTGTGGTTTCTCGCGCCTGTCGATTCGTTCTCGCTCTTCCAGAGCGAGCGAATAGGGCGCGGCGCGTTACAAGATAAAATCATCGTTACGGGTTTCCCTCGCTTTGAGGTAGTAGATGCACGAGACAGCTGCCTGCCGAGTAGCAGTGCACACACAGCACGCACAGTGCGCACACAGTACGCACACAGTGCACATACAGTACACACACAATGTTGTCCCACGTCCGACAGCATAGCCGCACGAGTGAATTGAAACCGCATGATATCGCGATTTTTGGAAATAGGTTCGCCGCATACATGCGAAATCGCATGAAACAAGGGAAACCTGTATTTGCATACTGTATACAGTGCATTGCTTTCAAGATGACCTGTGTGGTAGATTGATTTAAAAATTATATCCCAATTTCTGTTTATTGGCAGTAAAGTACAAACTTTTCGATACCGTTTACACTTCCTTTTGCCAGGGACATTCGTGAATGTTCCGTGGAAAATAAGATGGCAACACACTGTTTGCTTGAGAAATGTTAAAATGAGTTTATTCTAATATGTATTCATTTACATGTTCAAATGCAAAGTGTCCAATTGTGTTGGTACATATTACAAATCCTAAGAACCTACCGTTTCCATTGTATGTTCATACTTTTGGTCCACACATTTGCACTCTTTGATTTTACAGGAACGTAACATTGCTACGTGGTAAAAATGCATTTTTATTTTTTCAATCCTCCATTTGTGTATCAAGCATCCACATCTACCACGGTTGGTGCGGATGTGGCTTCGGGTTACTCAACAGCACTTGACAATTTTCTGGCCCAGCCGCATCAATGTAAAATTATAGTTGTTTCTCAATATCAGCATCAGCCATAGGCAGATTTAGATTTTCAATGTCACATGCAATAGTTATTTGTATAACACCGCTTTGGGAAGCAACGCTTTTAGAATTTGTGTTCAGGGGTAACAATGACAATCTCTGTTTTGTTAATTTCATTGCAATTTAAACCCACCCCTCGCCGAATGAAGTGGGATATTCCACAAGGCATATGGATGTTTGGCTTATTGAATAGTGGGGCGCACAGCGGAACATTCCAATTTCTATTCGGGGTATGTGCTGAGCAAATGACCTCAGACCGCACAATCGTGTTTAACGAGTATTTTATTACACTGCCCATGCTAATTGGATTGGTGTTTTAGCAGGTTCAGTCATCATTTGCACAGCCCACATTAACACATTCATTACGACGAATGGGCTGTCACAAGTTACACACACATTTGTTCACCCATGGTGACATTGCGGTGAACCGTGCATCTGATGCCTGAGCAAATGATCAGTCTCTGTGTTAGCAATTAACAAAAAAACTGCCCAGTAGGCATACCTCTCTATCTTTGTAGGGCTGCTTTAATTAGACATGAAAGGCGACTCGTCTTTGCTTCGCATAATTTAATATCAATCGTTTGTGTTGTTAAATGAAGAGCGTGCGCATCAGGTTCACGCTGTGAAAATATCACTTGAGGTTCTCCCACGAAGACACCGTCTGGGTTGACATTGTTGGCTAGGCACTTAAATCCAATGTGAGTAAGAAAAAAAAACCTAGTGTATTCAGGAAGATCCTTCGATTGGAGCCAAAACGTAGGTTCGTCCAATGCCGCCTCAGTAGTCTGCAGTGTATGACCCTGTCGCACGGCCACTGTTTATGAACTGAACATCCTTGCACAAACACCGATGAGCCATTCAACCTGAGAAACCTCCCTTCTTTTCACGGGCGCCGGTTCTCTGCCGGCGCTGGGTTTTTGTCGTCCTTCCCCCCTGCGCCGGTCGCTTGCTTTTCTTGGAGCTCTTGGCTCCTCTTTTCCACTTTTTGCCAGATTTGTTCTTCTTCGGATCGAGCGACGACATCAGCGAGGAGAGCCTGCGCGCAAAGGTGAGAAGATGGTGCCCGTTAAATAGAACTGATGGCGCTTTGCGTCAATCCATGGCGAGACGAAGGCCTCGACACGGCCGCGTCAGTCGTGAGGGCCGTTTCACCGTATAGCGCCACGGCAGAACAAATTGAAGGGAACCAGGTCCGGTTCAGATATCAATAGTCAATAACAACAAACAGCTCAACACCTTCGTTAATTACACTGCCTTATGTGGTAACATATATAACGTTTTTGGAACTGGGCTTCCCTTCATAGCACATGGAGCCATTGATGTTAGCTGTAGCCGGGATTGAATCCGAGAGCCACGGGGGGTTGGCTATACAGCGTGTGCTAACAGCTGTGCCACTGTGTTTCACCCCAGTTCATGTTTGTGCCCACAAATGCAGACATCCACAGGCATAATCAAGGGCACGCATAAAAGACAAAGATCTGGCTTGTAGCCTTCACCAGCCTAGTGCTCTTGGCATGCACTTATTGAAGCCTCAACACAATCGCATACACACGCACAGATATTCAACATGTGGGAGGTGTTTACACAAAGCAATTGAACATTTTATAACCTGAAGTAGAAACTTGCTTGAGACATTAGTTTTTTTAATGTTTGCACTGATTATTTTACATCTCTATTTAAGTTTCACACTTAGGCTTACTCTACAACACACAAGCGGTGTGCTCAAGTGGTAACTAATTGGCACGTTTTGTTTAAGTCACAAACCTTACTAACTGGCTGCATCGATTGATGGCAGGTTTAACCACACATTAATGTGATCTAACCTAAAGAAAAGCTTTATTATTAATTTGACCGTTATACAACATAGGCTAAACAGATTAAAATATATATAAATAGTACATTAACAGGTATTCTTGTTATTGTACGGCCTCCTGTTACTGATCCTTCATCTCAGTCGTGCCATCCCCATCGGAACCATGGTGCAATTTACAAACATTAACGCCGAGCAGAAGGGCAGCTATTTCCATAACCATCTGTGATGGCACAAACAGTAGCAGCTGTGCAATACATTTCCATAAATGCCTCAGAGCAGGATGCGAATATAAACGAGCCAAGAGACCTCTGGGCCTCGTGCACTACCTCTTGGACGTGAGACACTGCTTCTTGTTTGGCAGTGGGATGTCTTTCGGCTCTCCACCTTCTCCCCTCGCCTCGTCCTCTCCCTCTTTCCCTTGCTGCTGCTTGTCGTCGTCGTCGTCGTCATCATCGGCCTTTGCAAACTGACGGTCAGAAAATATCTTTCAGCGTGCTTGAATGCACCAAGCCCTGAAGAGGCTGCTTGACATTTAATACTGAAAAGCAGGAATCTGGTGCAAAGTATCAAACAATCGTTTCCACTGGTTCCCAGACCGCAGATGTACGACTGTTCATACCATAAGGCTTCGGCGCACAAGTGTCTCCTGGGTTGTAAAAAGGCACAGCATGTCTGTCACACTTTAAGATGTAACCATTACGACCACTATGTGTACAATGTGTGATAGTGCCCAAATACACTGGCATAGCCGTGGCCACCACCATGTGTGGCCGGCCTGTTCGTGGTCAAGTTCACTGCGAGTCATAACCTAAACCGTTTGTATGATGCGTGATAGTTGCCAGATACAATGACACAACCATTGTCCCCGCCATGTGTGAGATTACGTTAGGCTAGGAACACACCGAGATGTAACTATTATCATCACTATCACGTGCGTCCTGTGTTAGTGGCCAGGTACATGGATGTAACCGTGCCACGGATGTAACCGTGCCACGGATGTGTGCTAATGTCCAGGCACACTTGCACAATGCAACCGCTGTCAATACCATGTCCGAGATGTTTGTTAGTGGCCAGGTACACTCACGTGTAAATACTGGCAGCATGTGTGAGCCAGGTTAGTCAGCTAGGCACACTCCAAGGTGTAACCATAACCGCTACCGCACGCGTTCCGCCCGTACCGTGTTGGTGCCCAGTTTGAGGCCCTCTGGGTGACACAGGTCCAGGTCGCTGATGGTAGTCACCGTGACCGTGTGGTTGGGGTGGTGGTACTGAACGCTCTCCGTTTTGCTTGTCGTCACCAGGTCCAATTCGTCCAAGTCGTTCACTGATCGCAGGCGCAATGACGTGCATTCGATTAGGATGGCAAGCCGATACGCTACGTTCATTTGATGTCACGTGCCATTTGCGCCGTGCCACATCCTGGTCGTAATATTTGAATTTATTTCAAATGAATGACCAATTATTCAAATGTACCATAGCATATCAATGAATTAACTACAATGTTTGTTAATGTAAAACAATATACATTTTGATAATTGTTTTTTACCCTTTTATCTGGCAACAAAACTGACACCTTTTTTACAAGGAGTCATGTTTGCATAGACCACAATACCTGCAATCATAATGCAAACAAAAAACATAACTCTGATAATGTATGCACTGTCCGAGTTATGTTTTTTGTTTGCATTATGATTGCAGGTATTGTGGTCTATGCAAACATGACTTCTTGTAAAAAAGGTGTCAGTTTTGATGCCAGATAAAAGGGTAAAAAAACAATTATCATATTTTTTCTTCTGGCAAATGAGGTTCCAATGGAATATACATTTTATTGGCAGTTTCTGATCATTTTAAAGAGTACTTTATGTGTGCGATACATCAGATGGTCACGAGGATGCATCCCTCACCTATGCCCTGAGCTTTCCTTCTTTCTCTCATTAGATCCATGAACTGCTGCCTCCTCTGCAATTATCACACCGGGTACACACATCGCCACATTACATCGGGGCCTCCGGGTTTAATTGTAACCTTTGAAACACGACTGATGTAGTGATCGCAGCGTTCGAGACTTTATAGACCAAGTCCGTACACCGTGTCACATGGTTTGGACACAGTGGCACGTGCTGCGGATTTTTGGTACCTCGTCTTTAAGGCGCTTTTGCTCTTCCTTCATCTGCTGTACGAGCTCCTCTTTTGCCTTCCTCTTCCGCTCCACCTTCCGTTTGTGGAATCCTGTTAGATACGTCCTGCCCATAAAGCATCAGTAAAACGTTACGTGCGTTGTTCCCGTAATTTGCTGAATGGTTGACTGAGACCAACTCAGTAGAATGTAAACAGGGCCGTCCATGGGGGGGGGGGGGGGGGGCAGGGCAAATCCAACTGTGGGCCCCCCAACGCCTTCAAACTAAACCGGGAGTATTAGCATCTGATGACGCCGTGATGTCGAAACGCGGGGGCCCCCCCAAAGCGCGGGGTCCGGGGCAGTCGCCTCGATTCGCCGTATCCTAGGGTACGGCTCCTCTCTGTTTGTAAGGTCCACCACACATTTTCTCCAAAGCGGCATGATTTCAACTTCTGTATGATAATGTATTACTTTAGCAACACAACGATGGCTTAAGAGCTTCCCCACGCCGTGAAAGTTGCTGAGTTTGACCACGTTCTCAGATCTCCCTATGAAGAGACTTTGAGTATTCTTTAAAAGCAGATTTAAATTTCACATTAAACATTTCATTTTAATTAATTGTTAGCTATCCAGATCGCAATTTGAATCAATATTTTACCTCGCTTCAAGTGACCGTTGCATACAACAAACTAAATTGCCCAGTTATTTAACCAGTAAAGGCCCAAGCCTTTTCAGGAGGCACGGTGGTTAACACTCGGCAATGATACACCGCGCGCATTTGTACTTTGGTCGTAATGACTTCAATTTGTAATATAAAGCGGTACAGGTAATTGAATAACTTGGGGTTGTTTTATGCAACCAGTAGCCTGCGATGACCTATTGCAGCTCAGGGTTCTGAGTTGACATCCGGTCTGGATGCAAAGAACTAGTGTACCGCAGCGGGAAATGTCCCCCTGGTCATTTCAAGTAGGAATTTAACAGATACATTGTATATTTTTATATTTCAACCCGTTCAACGCCTTTAAATCGGCGTTTATAATCTCGCCCGGGCTCAATCAAGGAGCTGCGGACTTGTAATGTTGGCCGCGCAGGACGACTGTATCGCATTGCCGGGGCAAGTGCGCGCTTACTCATCGCCCACTTACGTTCGCTCTTCATCGTTGAACGTCAGGTACAGCTTCGTCTGCCTATTTCGAGGCGCTTTGCTTTTCGGCTTGCCCATTCTACAGCCCAGCCCACAGCCCAGCCCACAGCCCAGCGCCCAGCCCAGCACACAGCCCAGCGCCCAGCCCAGCACCGTGCAGTCACGCGCAGCCTCGCCGCCCCAGTGAACACCACCACGTGCCACGCACGTGGCCGCGCCGACTTCCGGGTCAAATGTGACCCGAGAACAATAAAATTTAAACAAAATTCTGTTTTTGTTTTTTTTTACAAACGGGGCCCTGGACGCACGCTCTTTTACGCTGCCGCAACCATCGCATACGACTGTGCCGCGCGATTAAATGTAAAACTAAAAGCGAGTTAATGGCTGTATCGTTGTTATTGTTTACGATGTACTTCCGGGGACACTGACCGGTCCAGCAAGCCGAGCCCTGCTGAGTGGAAGCGCGGTTTGCTCCGAGTCCCAACTCCTCTCTCTCCATCTCTCTTCTGTCAACTCTCTCGCTTGTTTTTCTCGTATCATCATCATCGTCATCATCGCTCGTGCGACGTTTAAGTTGCCCATACTCGTGTGTGTGCCCGCGCCATCGTGCGGCCTGTGCTGCGTGTCGGAGTGAGTGCACGTGGACACTCGGGGCCGCCGCGTCTCGATAACTCAAAAACCTCGGCTGGTGCTCTTGTTGTTGTTGTTGTCGCCTCGTGCCGTCTCTGTTCCGTGTTGTGCACCACGCACTCGAGGACACGCTAACGGCACTTGCCGCGAAAGTCGAAGTGCACCTAGCCTGGCACCCGCCACTTAAGTGGCGAACGGCGGTTGTTGCTGTTGAATCCGATCCGGGATTGATGAGAAACTCTCTTCGTCGCTTAGAGCTCCTGTGTTGTAACGTGTTGTGACTTGGTTGGGGTAGTCGCTGTTGATGTTTGTAAGAGTGTGACCCACTTGAGTCGTGATCTTCGTCTTGTCGCTGTATGACCACGGTAGCTTGGGCAGCGAGAATGTCTGTCACTGTCTGTTGAGGGCGACAGACTGGAGATCAGTGTTGGGAGCCAGTCTGTGCATACAGCACCTGGACACATTGTGCACGTACTCGACATTCAGTATACAGCCCCATACACATACACACAGCACCCACACCTACACAGACACACAGACGACAGCATCCCCCACACCGGCTGTTGTGAATATCCCGTAGTAGCCTGGCGTCACATTAATTGCACAGGGGGCATAGACGCCACTACTGTGGGTGGGGTGCGTGTTAGGTGGGTCGGTGGTGCGTGGGGTCGGGGTGTGTGGGTGGTGTGGGTGGTGTGGGTTGTGTGTGGGGTGGGTGGTGTGGGGTGGGTTGTCAGTGTGTGGGGTGGGTGGGTTGTGTGGGGTGGGTGGTGTGGGGTGGGTTGTGTGTGTGGGGTGGGTGGTGTGTGTGTGTGGGGTGGGTGGTGTGGGTGGTGTGGGGTGGGTTGTCAGTGTGTGGGGTGGGTGGGTTGTGTGGGGTGGGTGGTGTGGGGTGGGTTGTGTGTGTGGGGTGGGTGGTGTGTGTGTGTGGGGTGGGTGGTGTGGGTGGTGTGGGGTGGGTTGTCCGTGTGTGGGGTGGGTGGTGTGTGTGGGGTTGTCAGTGGGGGGAGGGGGGTAATTCCTGCAGCCACGACTATGGCCACGGCGGCAGTGGCGGCCGCAGTGGTTTCCCACATCAACCCGCGCCAGGACTTCCCGGCGTGGCTGGCCGCTCACGGCGTGAGCCTCAGCGTGGCCGAGGCCGTGGACCGGGAGCTGGGCATCGGCGACTACGAGGCCTTCCTGGCGTGCGCCGAGCAGCCCCACGTCAGGGCCGAGATGTTCGCCGCCGCCAGGGAGCGGCTGCCCTTCGCCTTCTACGCCGTGCTGCGCCGCCTCACCGAGGCCTCGTCCCCCAAGGGCCACGACGGGGCCGGCGGCGGCCTCCAGGCCGCTGGCAACACGGCGGCGTTCCAGCCGTTCCTGAGCGGCCTCCTGGACGCCATCGTCCTCATGCTCAACAGCCTGAGCCAGGAGCTGCTGCACTCGGCCGAGAGGTTCAGCTGCCTGGAGCCCGCGCTCTACCCCGTGGTGTCGCTGGACGATGGAGTGGCGAGCCACCTCGCCTCGGATGTGGGTGAGTCTGACAAGCCCCCCCCAACCTCTCCCCTGTTCGGTTGCATAAAATATCGTGAGCGATGTTTCCCCCACCCCATCCCCACCATCAGTTTGCAATGTGAATCGCTGTGATCTAAGGGGACGAGATTTAATTTTAGGGGGAGATTATGCAACTTGCCACTGGAAACCGGGACTCTAAGAATGCGTGGGTCAAGAGGTCACGAGAAGGGTTACCACGTTTCCCAAAGGCACAAACCCGGATTTATTTCTCAGCTGAGGTCTGTGACTCCTGTTGCAACATACAGTCATTAAGTTCAACACAGTAACGGTACCAGATCTCAGAACGAATCCAATCCCACCACATGACCGCACACATGCCAGTTCCTGGACTGTTCAGGTCCAACCTGGGCACGTGGCAACTCTCGTCAGGAGTGGTGCCCTCCCCCCTGCCCCGTGACACACAATAATGAGACGGTGGTCGACTGTCATCCTCCTTGGTTGCCTTCAGCCGGTGGTGGAAAAGCCACGTCCCATCATCTGTCATGAACATCATCTTCGTTACCTTTATATGCGGTTTCACACAGTCCAGGACTTGTCCAGAAGTGCGGTGTGACAACAATGTCTGGGTGTGAGAGGAGACCAGTAATCATAGAAGTACATCTTCACGTCAAGAATATACATGAGCCCATACACAACACACATTTTGATAATAGACTTTACTACCCCGTACGGTGTGGGAAGGCCCTCATCCAGCAGTGGATTGACATAGGGCTGTACATGTGCGGGCGCCGTGGTGGTGAGGTGTTAACTACCTCGCTTGGTATGCAGGAGGTTGTCGGTTCGACCCTGACGCCTGTGTATTTGGAGTTTGCATGGTCTCCCCATGGTCGTGTGGATTTCTCTCCGGGTCCTCTAGTTTTTCTCTCTGGCATTGTGATGCCTCCATGGGCGCCACGGTGGCTAGGAGATGTTAACTACCTCGTCTGGTATACAGGAGGTCGTGGGTTCGATCCCAACCCGACGCCTGCTGTTGTATATTTGGAGTTTGTGCGTCTCTCTCCCTGTGGTTGCTTGGATTTTCAATGGGTCTTCTCTGCACATTTAGAAACATGCGTTTCGAGTATTTGGCTGCTATAAATATCCACGTGATAAGCCACTTAATTTGGCTTATCTGGTGTCTTCCGATAAAGAGATATAGCCCAGTGGGCCTTACCTGGTAAAGTACAAATAGTTTATAAAAATAGTTTATATAATCGTCATGAAGTGCAAACTCACCACTGTTGTGAATGTTTTTTCCACGTGCGTGCTCACAGCAGAAGTGGTGGGAGATGTGTCTGGGAGTGAAGTAAATCACCGGTCACCCGACCCGCATTCAGACATTCAGCAAGAGCACAGCCTGCACCATGCGTGGGCAACCAATGGAGACAAAGTTGAGAGGCTCTTTCAGAATAACGTGGAAGGTAATGCAGCTGCACTCCTCATGGATGGATACATAAATACACAACTGCTTGTGTCCGCGTGAAAGTTGTCGTATTTTATTACATCGTAGGATTGTGCGAGATGGCGACGGTTTGGGGAGGCCCTTTATCCAGCAGTGGAGTGACCAAGGGCTCTAGATATATGATTACTATTATTCGTTAATGTACGTGAATTGGTATAACTTATTTTGGGGAATTCCCGACAATCATGCCTTTGTGTCACATTACGTTGTTAGTACTGTGTAGGGCTTTGTTGTATAGCTCTGCGATTTGTGTTCAGGTTTGTACCGTATGTTCAGCATGATGATGTTCGACGTTTCGCTCTATACACTGGGAGTTCCCATCGCAGACAACTACAAAAAGGAATTAATTTAAGAGCGGTGTTTTTAATTCTCCATGTGTGTAACTCACAGCTATTGTGGCCGGCTCTTCTTTCTAGAGAAGGCAGACTTGCCTCAAGTTGGGGATTGCTGGAGCGCCATCGAGGAGTCTCCTTGTGAAGTGGAGGAGACTGATGTGAACGTGACGTGGAGAGAGGTCAAAGCAGAAAGGGATGACGTCAGAGGTATCTCACGTGCCAACGTAACTCGAGAGATGAACCCTACCCTCTCGGCGGTCCACAGGGAAGCTGCTTGGGTTGCCAGTAACTTGCCAGGCGTGGAACAATTGATTAGTCGAAAAAAATCAGTTCTTACGCTCAGAGTGATGCATTGGATCGTGCGTGTAAAAAATGTATTCTTTACATTGCACGTAGATTATTTTTTGATGTTTCTTTTAGGCTAAGAAGCGAATGAAACTGTCGATACGATATAGAATGAGAAACAATACAAATGCAACAGAAAAAAACAAGACTGAGGATGCGATTCTCAAATTGAATTTAGAACCCTGAATCATTATAACTAGCGAGATGGGGAATTATTAACAACATGTTTTTAGATTACTACCAATGTCGTGGATTGTTGGCCAGAAGTGGTAATTTTATTGGGTTTTGAAGGACAATAATAGACTAAATCTATAGTTGAGAAACGTTGCAGATTAATGGACAAACCACTGTGTGTGCAGGCTGTAAGGGCAGTCATCTGAAAGAGAGAGCAAGTGGATGGTGTGTTGTTGACAAAGCCGAATTGTCCAGAGCCGATGAGATCAGCATAAGCCAGATCATTTTACTTGCAAGAGTGGTTGTGAATCAATGCTTTGATTGAGAGTTTTGTCAGCTGTTATATATGGAGAAGCTTGAAAAAGGTAATGGCCTAGATTCATTATCAACACCTCAGTGATGAAGGTTACAGGTGAGATGACAGTGATGGAAGTAGTTTATTCACAGGCTAATGCAAATACACTTGTTCATATTGTAGCTACAGTTTCTTATTTAATCTGTCACTTAAATGCAAAAAAGTATTGAAAAATACATTTGGAATATGTCACGTCATAATATTTTTTATTGAGTCAAATTTCGTGATAAGAATGCAGACAATCATGGTGAGGGCCACATGTTTTGGGTAATTATTCAATTCCAGAGTTGGTCAAATCTGGTAATCCTTTTATTATCTGAAGGTTCCAGGTCTCCCTTGCAAAAGCTATTGGATCTCAACTGGTTCTGAGAAAGGCTACTTACTTGCCTGCTAACATAGCCACATACCTCCTGCACAAGAGCTGATTTCAATGCTCCAGCTCTGTGTTGGGTGTACTTTCGGCCGTGTCCCCTCCTTTGGCTACTAATTTGTTATCAGCTTCGACCATCAACCGTCCTCCCTCCTACCATCTTGTCCTGTCCAAGCTAACTTGACAGTCAATACGATGTTTGTAACTTGCATATATTCTGTAATCCATATGTTCCTCTTGATGTCCCTCAGTATAATTCTGATCATGCACCTCTCCATGCTGCTTTGCGCACCTTTCAACTTATGTTTACATTTCTTCGTGAATGTGCACATTTCTCATGCTTACTATAATTAAACATACACCTCCGATGATGTATCTTCGCTCAGACGGAGAAACAGAGGCGACGGACGAGGAGTGTTTCTCTGTCATCACGAGAACCACCAACCAAAGCGCTCCAACCAAACTCGGCTACAACGGCGAGCTGCACTGCGTCGACCACCCACACAGGGAAGACGCCGCATACTATCCCTACAGGCGCGACACCGCCACGGCTGCCGAGTCGTACGACGGCCAGCAGGTCTGGCAGCAGCACCAGCAGCGACTGCTGGCGCCGCCGCTTGACGGACACCGATGCGATTCCTCCGAGCCAGGCGATGGCATGGATAACGCGGCGCCGTCTGGGGAGCGGCGGCCGGACAACAGCGGCGGCGGCAGCAGCGCCGGGCGCAGGGACAGCCCGCACTCGTCCACCAAGCCTTTCGGCTGCCGCGAGTGCGGCGCTCGCTTCGCCACCAAGTACAACCTGCGGGTGCACGAGAGACGGCACACGGGCGAGCGGCCGTTCGCGTGCGAGGTGTGCGGGCGGCGCTTCTCTCGCTCCTACTGCCTGGGCCGGCACAAGCGCTGCCACGTGCTGCGGCCCCTGGAGCGCGTCGCGGCTACCACCGCCACGCAGCCGCTGCGTTCGCTTCCCTAGCGTTGGGCTGGCGTCGCGGCTAGTTGTGAGCAGCGTGAAGATGGCGGTTCCTGCAGGCCTGAGGGAGGACGTTGATTTGCGTGTGGCCAGAAGCAGCGCCACGGAAAAAAACGAATTATGCACATTATTCAAATGGAACGTCGAGCGGTGTGTTTTATTTATTGTCATAATTCTTGGAGGTGGGTGGAAGTGGCACTAACATTTTGAACATTGTTGAAAAAGATTTCTGTGTTTAAAAAAAAAACCCCAGTCTGTTGTAGTGACAGGTAGGAATGGAATTTCATGCTTGTGCTGTATAAAACTGGGTGATTTTAAAGTGCAAACCATTGTCAGTGTAAATGCTGTTCGTACAGCGAGCGTTTATTTAAACGAGTTTGATTGGCAGTTGGGGTGTGACATGGTCATGATGTGTAGGCGTCATCTGGTAATGTCGCCCACTCAACCTTGTGAGAAAGCACAGCAGCGGAGAGAGGTGGTGGCAGGAGTTTCCTATACCTTGGTGTAAGGAGAGGCAGAGCCACCATTGGGGTGGCCACCAATCAAAAGGAGGAAGGTGGAGCCTGAGAAACAAAGGGGCGGGGACTAGGTGGGGTAGACATTCACAGCTGAATAATAACCATCAGGAGGCAAGAGGCTTTCGGAGGCAAACCTCGGACTCTGGGTTTGTACCAGAAACGTATTGTCAAGCCAATTCGTCAAAACGTTGTAGAGAGCTACAGGAACACATTGCATCTACACAAGATTAGTTTATTTTCTTCAAACAAATTCATATGCATTATGTGACCTCCTTTGCCAGTACCAAAATATGAGAATAGGTTTTCCCCTTTTTTCTGGCCACAAAACAGGTGTTAAGATGTTAAAACACCAAACCGAAACCTTTTACAAGGAATCATGTCTGCATTAGAGTATGTTTTTTGTTTGCATTCTGACCACAAGTATTGTGGTTAATGCAGACATGATTCCTTGTAAAAGGTTTCAGTTTGGTGTTTTAACATCTTAACACCTGTTTTGTTGCCAGAAAAAAGGGGAAAACCTATTCTCAAATTCATATGCAACTTAATACATGTTATAGGTACAAAAGAGAATATTTAAAAATGCTTTGGAAGAATCAAGTACTTTTGGTTTCTGATTGATCATTTAAAAGCGTTCTAGTTGCATTATATAACAGCAGCATTTTGTGTGGTCAGTCGTTTTACGATGACGGTTGCTTTGTGTTGATTATTGCAGGGGTATTGTCACAAACGTAAATATTTCAATACTACACAGGATCATATTTCTCGTATAGTGGCAGTATTCTGTTTCGCAATTTGTTCTAATATTGTGAGTACAGGAAAGGAATGCTATTACTTAAGAAATTGAGTCTGCTTGCTTAGTCTTTTCTGTGTGATGTTAATACACACGATGATGTCAACATTCGTTCATCAGTTCACAGAATTACAATATTTCTTGTTTTGTGCGAACATTAGTGGGGTTTTTTCGCCTAATAACAACGATCTGGAATGTTTGAAATTCATGCAACGGAATATTACAATGAAAAAAAATCACCGTTGAGGAATGGAACACTATACATTCAACCACTATATTTTCAATAATCGGTCACTTTGAGGAATCATTTTAACAAATAAAAGCTGTGCATGCCCGAGTGTTTTGTGCGTGAGTGTTTATCCTCCCCTTCACACCCAAGTGTTTCCACACCTGTGATTCTGAAACGTACCGCGACGTTCCTGGAATATCCTTGGAAGGGCCCATAGAATAGTGCTGGTCTCGTCCCAACATGGGCTTCTCCCATCGCCATCTCCACTCAAAGACTCATTGGTCTGAAAAGCTAGTGAATGGGTTGCTAATATTTTGAGTGGTAAGGGGACTAAGGTCTCTTTACATTTTGATGTACAAGCACGATGTACTTGCCCATGGTGCTTCCGATATGACAACGAATTGACAGACCCAACACCAAAACAAAAAGGTGTACGACAGGGCTGCCCACTTTCACCCAGTCTTTTCAACATCTACTCGGAGCAGATTTTTGATCGAACACTAGCAGATAAAAACATTGGTATTAAAGTCAATGGACAATACATCAACAACATCAGGTATGCCGACGACACTGCACTGCTGGCCGATTCAGAACAAGACCTACAACAAATCTTGGACGAGGTTGCCACAGAGAGTCAAATATGGGGCTTACGAATTAATAAAAAGAAAACAAAGGTTATGAAGGTCAGCCGAACTACAAGCGAAATAACAATCAAGCTGGGCAGCGAAAAATTGGAACAAGTACACCGATTTAAATACCTTGGTGTAATCATTGACGATCAGTTGAACCATGAAGTCGAAATCAAGAGCAGAATTGAACAAGCAAGGCAAGCATTTATTAAATGGAAAACACTCCTTGCAGACCGCAACTTGAGTATATCACTGAAACTGCGCACACTGAAATGCTACATCTGGTCAATTTTGCTGTACGGAGTAGAGACGTGGACACTGACAACAACAGCAACAAAAAGGCTCGAAGCTTTCGAAATGTGGCTGTATCGAAGAATGCTGAAAATCCCATGGACAGCCAAAACCACCAATACACAAGTTGTGCAAGATATGGGCACTGACAGGCAACTGCTGAAGACCATCATTAGCAGGAAGTGTTACTACCTAGGCCACATTGCCCGAAACGACCACAAATACCAGCTATTAAAGCAAATCCTGGAAGGAAAAATCGAAGGGAAAAAACGACCAGGACGGCCAAAAACGACATGGCTCAGTAACATCAAAACATGGCTACAATTAACAACAGCACAAACTCTACACGCCGTGCTAGACCGGGACCAATATCATCGTGAAGTCGCACACGCCGTTAGGCAGCACTCAAGAAGAAGAAGTGCTTCACAACAGCACACCATGAGTTTGTACAAGAATCATTATGGAGCTTTAGCTTTGCGCCGCAAGCCTCTGGCGTGACGAGAGCGAATCCTTAACATCTCCTCCTTGGAACCTTAAGGAGTCCTTGATGTTCTTCCATGGGACTTGGACATTCTTGAGGCATTCTTACTTAGGAATCATGAGGGAGCCTTAGGTTGGTGCTATGAGTTGCTAAGGAAGGCAGTGCATTTCTTTGGGTAATGTGCCTTTTTCACTACAGTCGTACTGGTCAAGGCTCTAGAATGCAGTACTGTGAATGTTGCCATGGGATGTGTGTTCTCGTCACTAGCCTTGCTTGCGTAAGGCTGCCTGATGTGCTACCTGTACCGTGGAACAACCAGAATGTATGTAAAGATGATTTAAGGCTAAACTGTGGCGTGCCATTGCAATATGGGAATTGTGACCAATGGCCAAAACTGCGATCACAAAAGCCGCATTGGCCACAGGGGCACCTGCAGGCGTGTAACATGGCTTTGTAGCGGTGATGTTCAATCAGCACCGTCATTCTTCACTAAAGCTAACAAACAATGACATGAAGCTACGTCTCACAAAGTGGGACCTGAATAAACACAATAAAAATCATAGCAGTCGTTTATAAAGAAGGAATAGCTACACTGAGATTGCATCAATACACGGCGAATCGTGCAAAGAGATAGACTGTCACCAAATGGATTGTAGCAATGATTGTATCAATACATGTCGAGAATATTAATCCTCGGTTCTGCATGGTGAATCACAACATCCAATGGGAATGAACGACAGGAAATGATTGAAGTCCATGACACAAACAAATTCTCCTGATACCAACAGGGTAATTGCCTGAAACGTCGCCGATGTTCTATTGTTTATAATGTTAAGGCAGTGTTATTGAACGGTGTCTGTTTTGTGTTGTCCTTCCCCGCACCTCCGATTAGCACTGTTGGCTACGTACGGTGCGAAAGAAGCTCAACATACAAACGTGTTGAGTTTATTATATTTTTTTTGGTTGGGGTACTTTGTGTTTGTGCGACGTTGCCAACCCAGAAGCAGAAGCAGCAGCAATCGCCAAATAGTTAAACACGAAATAGCAGAGCGTGCAACGTGGAGGAGTAGCTCAAGGTACACAGCCACTGTCGTATGCGACATGTTTACGTGACTTCACCGAAAGAACCAAGAATATGAATCGCTGCAGTCACGAAAGAAGCTTTAAATCAAAATTCATGAATTTAAAGTTTACATTTTTAAAAGCCGCACTTAGTTTGGTCTCCATGGCAACCGGCGTTGCTGTGAGACGCGAGGCCGCGACGAGGCGGGCTCCACTTCATCTTCACGTGGCGCGACATCTTCACGTCTTCACATCTTCACTTCTTCACGTTGCTGACGAATTTAAAACAAAACCTTGTTGATGGTAATACTCGCCACGAGTCTTGCCGTGTTGCAGCTCCGAGCGCGTCGCTTTAAATGAGCGTTAAAGACATTCGCGAGTGTTGTGGTCGTGCTGGTAGCGGCGGCCTTGTCGGCCTAGCGTGAGCCTGCCCGTAACAACAACTACGACGACAACAACAACAACAACAACGTGGTCTGGCAATTAACACGAGCGAATCGAGTTTAATTAGACGGCCACTCGACTCGACACGCTGCTGCCAATTGCGTGGAGAAATACAAATTAAAACGGAACGTTTCAATTTGCTGAACGTTTCAATTTGCGGGTTTCAGAGTTATAAACGGGTTCCACGTAAGTCGCTCGGCAGGTCAGGCGCGGTGAGCTAAAGGAAGAGTAGGCCAAGTACAGGACACTCTATCGGGCTTCTCCAGAGCCGCCTCTGGTGGCGGTCGTGCTGCCGGCAGCGGCGTGAGCGAGGGAGTTGCAGGGGCTGCACCTTCACCTTGTGCCATGCGCCGGCTCGAACCCTCGTCGCTGTTGCCGGCGGTCGCGGCGTTTATATTGAATAGCGAAGCAGCGCGATTGAAGGCGACATTTGTCAGTGCAATGTCCACGTGTTGTTGTTGTTGTTGGTGTGCGTTTACAGGCCACATGGAGGTGAAATGCGGTGGAAGTCCGTGCGCTCCTCGCCCGAGAGCGCGGAGACCCGGGGGGGCACGGCCATCTGGGCAAGCGGCAGCGACGTTGAGCAGGTAACGTGATTCAACTCGATGTGTGTGAAGCTTTCGTGACTGCAATGGTTCATATTCTCTTGGGTTGTTTCGGTACAGTCACGTAGGTGGAAATTAATAAATGAAAAAACAACAACAAGGCGGAAGCTTGTGTTGCCTCCGCAACGTCGTGATTTAACTTAGTTTTTTCATTTATTTATTTTTACCTACGTGACTTTACCGAAAAAAACAAGAGTGTGATTCAACTCACTCACCGCAAGTTGTTATTTAACCTTTTTTGTTTAATGTTACGTGCACCGATTAGACGGAGCGATGGACCTGGGCTCGTGTGCAGGTTGCGTTGTGGAATGAGGCCTTCATCCAGCAGTGGGTTGACCATGGCGATAATGAATGACACGAGTTCACATTGTAGCTCAGGAAAGCCTCGCTGACTATAACGAGTCTTTTACAGGAGGCTTATCTCATGTAGAGTATACTTTTACTTTTTCACGCCACGTCCTGTGCGTTGACGGATTTAATTAAGGTGAATTTGTTGTTAGGCATGCCCTTTTCATAAGCATGCTATGAGCACCCAACATACTGCTTTATGATGATGACAAACCAGGCCTAAAGTGGACGCTGCTTGTTTAAGAATGAATTGCAATCGTGCAAAAAAAACCCAAAGCAACGATCACTTCAAATCAAGTTGTGGCAGAAACTAACAAAAATATCTATCCCTTAGACTCGGCATTTAAATTACACAGATTACTGAATGTTGTCAGCAGAGGGCAGTGCAGCAAATTGTACTATATTATGCGCCTTGCCTTAACCAACCCGCATTGACCAGCGAAATGAATTATGGCCAATTATTTGTGTTTAGCTTGTTGTCCTTTCCCCCGCACCCCCGATAGCACGGCTGGCTACGTACGGTGCGAAAGAAGTCCCACAAATATACATGGCCATATGAATCTCCCTCTGCTCGCACGGTGAGGGAGGCCCTCGCCCAGCAGTGTGGACACAAGTTCTTGCACCACGGACACGACTTGCAGGATTCAGGTGGCTGATGTTGACCAGGTTTGCAAGTGGGCGGTCACGGAGTCGCCCGGATGCCAAGGGCTTGGAGGAGAAAAGGGGCATTGGAGGAGCCACAAGCCGGACGGCGGGTGTCATAGACCCGCATCGTCTGGTGAGGTTGCCGTCTCCTCTTCGATGCACCCGTCTGTTTACCCGCATCTGTATCGTCGACAAGTTGTCCGAAGCAGAAGTGTGTTGCTGACAACGAAGCACTTTGGTTAATCGTAATCACCATGGTCACTAAACTGACGTCATTTGCTTAAAGGTAGTAAGTAGATATCTCAATTCAACTGGTTAATTGACACTGAGGAGGACCAAGTATCACAGTGGTCCGTGCACTGCGCTAAGAACACGGCCGCCTGAGTTCGATTCCCGGACACGGCCAGCATCATTGTCGAATGATATCTAAATCGGTCTAGGGTCTGTCCCCCTTCACCAACCCGCACTGATGGAGTGGAGTACTGTACAACCACCATGACCAACACGGCGAGGGGATGCCTTCCTCCAGCAGTTTATTGACACAGTATTACAGATGTGTGAGTATGGCATTAAAGAGAATTACAGTGATTGACTTATTCCTTTGAGGTGCATTGACAGTGGCATATCACGGCAATATTGTGACATGCAAGAGGCCCATAAGGCTGACACACTGAAGTGATAGTGCTTCGCTCAAATGCCACTCATACCTGCCTATCCACCGTCGCCAGTATAGTTTGAGCCTTGGGCAATTTACAAAGATAAGCACCACCCAGATAGCCCTCTGGGTGGATAGATACAATTCAGAAACATGCCAGATATGGATGCAGTGTTTGGATAGGCAGCTATTGTACACTTTACGCATTCACAGTACAGATACAGTCTTTGTCAGGTACAAGAGGATGAATGAAAAGCTACCAGATTGATAAAACATTTCAAACACATCGTATCCTTCATCAGTTAAGAGACTCCTTTGAATGTGCGTTGAAAAGATTCAGTGAAAAAAAGCACAATAGAAGCATATACTTTTCTGGTACAGTATTCCCAAAGTGATGAACCACGGCATATTTTCGTGTTAATGATTAATGTATTTAAACACATGTTCTTTATGAGGTTCGTGTATCATCCAGAGTATCATCAGCCTACTATGTAGGCTTTGTAATATGGTCTATATGGATTGGCCGCTTATGTACTTGCTTGAAAACAAACTGGTGGTGTAATCTTGATTTGAAGCTTCTGGTGGTGTAATGGTTTTCTCATTTTTAAACATGTTTGGAATAATCGTAGAAGTTTTAACATTGCAGCGTATTGGGCTCTTTCAGTTGTATTGTGTTTGCAATTATTTTGCAGCTCGTCCAAGCTCGCGAGGCCAGCTTCAGTAACATTTACACCCTAGAGCTGCATGCAGAAGGCATCAAGAAAATAGAAAACCTGGAAAAGGTCAGTGTCATCCTTGCATTTACAGAGGGTGCATTGCCTTTTTTAAGTTATAATCTTATACCTTGTCTTGGGTTCTTAAAAACACAACAATCATCATCCTCTAAAACTACAGTAGTGAATTTTTCGGTACTGTGATATAGCTAAAAAATATGTTAATAACAGTGGCAGATAATATGCAATAAGAATAATGAGTTACATGTACACCAAGCTTAATTAGTCATGCATCAATGCATAAATCATATTTTTATGAAGGTTAGAAATGCACTGGCACAGTGCTACAATATTAAAAGTTTTGTGACCTGTTTTATCCTAAGAGAATTATCGCCATAATTCCCCCATTGCTTTCTTTATTTGACCATTTGAACAAAGGTGACTTAATTTTTTTTGTTCCAGTAACACCGTAGTATACACGATGCACAATACTTCACGAAGGAAGGTTACAGTGCAGTACAATTTGAATGTACCCTACACAGCGTTGGTGTACGGTGTTTTTCCTGCCATATTTTGCTGTCTTTTCTTTGATTTTCTATTTGCACTCAGTCACATATTCACTTTAAGATGTTTTTTTGTTCATGTTTTTGTTTTTTGTTTGTTGCGGTTGCACCCGATTCAAGAGCCGAATGGCTCACAGGGCTATACCTAATAAATTAACTTGAATAACATGGAATGTAACTACACTTTAAGATGCTATACATAAACAGTGGGCGTATGTATTGAATGGAAGAGACAGTCATAAGGCAGAAGGGAAAAATGAAGTTATTGAGCCTGGACTTGAACAGGGACCAAAAGCGTGGGTGTCTGCACAGTTTACACGGCTGAGGTCATTGGACCTTTCCTGCAACTACATCAAGTCTATTGAAGGGTTGGAGCACCTGAAAGACCTCCGGGAACTCAAGTTGTATGGAAACAAGATAACCATCATTCAGAACCTCAGCCGGTAAGACGTGTGTGCATATGGTTGGTGGTCCAGTGTAAGACAATGTTCTGTGTATGTGTACAATGTGTACCCTGCTGTAGACATAGAATAACATCATAGTTGTTATCCTCCTGCAATTGAATTGAATACTGACTTCATACCAGTTGTTTTAATTAGTGTATAAGGACAATGTGGGATATAAACAGATGTGTCACCGCAGTTATATTTTTTTACAGTTGTGCACTCTTTGGGAAAGTTCACAATACAATACAATGTGTGTTTATTAAGTGTATAAAGGTGACCACATCTTAGAATACTGTTCAGAAAAATGTATATGCTTTATGAGATTATGGGAAACAGGAGATTAGGAACTGGAGGATGTAACATTGGTGCCTTGGAATGGAATAAACCACGAGGATAGGTAGATGGGAGAAGAGGAAAGCATGAGATTCCTGAAGAGAAAATTGAGTTAAACGTGTAAATGGCCAGATGAGAGAAATCCAGTGTTATAGCAGCGGGTTTTGATAGGTTTGGGTTGCTGGTTTATATCCACAGGATGGTGAGTAGATAAACATATTGGAGAGTTAGACAAGAATAAGTTGATGTGGGATTTTGAGTCAGATGAAAGCAAATCTTTCAGTTGATTTAGATAGGATTGGTAGCTCATGTTGGGATCTGAAGATTGGGGTGACGTGGTATTATTCAGAAGTGTGGGTACAGAGCAGCTGTGACTTAGGGGATAAAGGTTTTTTTTCAGAGGTGAATTTAAATATTTTTTCTGATTTTATGACCCAGAAAATGCTCGGTGAGTCTCAGGAAGGTCCTGCCAAGTTTTCACATAAGGGTTGACAATTGCTGTGTTCCTTGACTAAATAATTTGCGAGTGATTTCTAAAATATGGGCAATTTTGACCATAGTGCCAGCACACAATGGCCTTATTTTCTTTGACTGACATCACAGGATCTGTAATGTTCGCTGTTAAGCAGACGGCACACATTTTATGGTTAAATCACCCACAGTATTAACCACGGTGGCATTCTGGAATCGAACCACAAACCTCTGGAACAGACAGCAAATGTGCTACCAGCAAGCCTTGTCACCACCCCATGATTGCATGCGTGGCCATTTTGTTATTGAGCAGCTTTTGTGAATTTCCATATTTTTTCAGGCTCAATGAACTTCAAATTTTACATCTCCAACACAACCAAATCATCAAAATAGGTAACTGATGACACAAGTATATTGTGTTTCAAATATATTTCTTTTACATCGTTATTAACCACTTTATTTATTCATTCATTTATGTTTCTATACCTAACCCCTACCGTACTTGCAGTCAAAATACTTGAGGACACTGCATATGAGTGTGTGATTTTTTGCATAAAATCTATTTTTGTTTCATCTGCCATGGCATAAAAATACATGCTTTGCTCTGAGATATACATCTTAAGTTATATCTTAGGTTGTATACATTCTACCTTCATTATCTAAGATGACAAGAATATGAGAAAAAAACAAGATAGAGTATAATAACGAGTGTGCGTCATCAGTTATAATCTGTCATTGAAAAGCAGGCGTGGTATTCCATATGTAGTATTGCTGTTCTATCATTGTTTGCCACTCTCACATTTGCGTTGAAGTTCCTTTCACTGACACCATTGTGTTGCGCTACGTGCACGCGTGCATAGGCACTGCTTTGGAAGGCAAGCAGAAGTTAAAGGAGTTGAGGCTGGACAGCAACCGCCTGTCCCGGCTGTCGCCCAAAGAAGTGGCTCAGTTGAGCAGCCTGCAGACACTCGATATCAGCCACAACCAGCTGACTGACGTCACGGTGAGTGGCTGCACGGCAGGGACGCTGCTGCTTTGCTCATACAGATTCCAAGAACACAGGATGAGATGTTACTATCCTTTGTGCAAGCACTTCCAAGAGTTCACGAACAGTGAGCCTGGTGAAATTTGGGGAGCGCATCGTCAGTAGTGTACCTTTGGTTCCTAGGGTGTTTCGGCCTTTCACACTATACACCCTCCCCAAAGGCGGCCAGCGACAGGGTGATCAATCCTACGCTTGCGTCCCATTCCCAATTAGTCATAGGAGTTGCCTTGTTGTTGATAGCCTACATCCCATGGGACTATGCATGGCAGGGGCGTCCTCCTCCCTGAGTCAAGCATTGTTGACCGCATAACGTAGTTAGTCAGTTGGCTGCATGTTGACAGTCATTTGTGAGTTATTTTTGCTTCGTGTAGAATGAGTCCTGTAAGTGCACAACACGTGATTGTGTGCGTGCAGAAGGAGCTCCTTTGATGCTGTTGGTGGATTTTATTGTCCGCGCTTCTCTGCGCATTTTCTTACTCTAAACCATGTGCACAACCTTGGATTACTTCAAGTTACAGGATGAAATTAATAATTTTGGTCATTTGTGGTAAGGTCATATCTGCAGATAAGCACAGATAAGTGGACACTTTTGCATAGATCTGTAAATCGATTCAGGGCACATTTAATGAGAAGAGCAGATAATATGAAGGTGAATGTACATATATATACTTTAGCATGTATAAGTAGGAGTGTGTATTTTTAAAGAGCACATTCTACCAAATCTTAAATTTCTGCATTGGCTGTCTGTCCATTTGAACATTGACTGCCATCTGCAGTCGCTGTCTCCCTTACTTTATGCATTTCTCCGTCACATTTTTTAAATACAACTAAAATAATATTTCTTCTCTGTTGCATGCACCTTATTGACTCTGTAAAAACGTTATTCCAATCTCCCTCTTCTCATTCATAATCCTGTTTTAATTATTTTTTTCATAAACAGATTTAGTGTAAAAGTCCACCTATGTTTTCACACACTCAATCATTTGTCTTTGTTTGCATGTTATAGTTGTGTGCATTATCCGGAAATATATTTTCTACTTTATTTGCTTTGTAAAAACGTCATTGTATTGTATGTGGCCCTTAGGCGGTGTCTGTTCTGCCGAGTCTTGAAGAGCTCCAGGCATGTGGAAATCAGCTGAGTGGCATCCCAGAGCTCAGCTGCTGTGAGCAAGTAAGTGTTGGTCTTCTTCTCTCCTTCAGTCAAAACACATTCCTGCGGAGGGAGCTGGTAGGAACGTTGGGTTGCTCGGTCAATGGCCAGGGTCAACGGCGGCGTGGTGTATTCCGCAAATATGCCCGACTGTGAGGGTGGGCACAAGCCGGCGTGAGTAGGTTAAACTTTGAGTTTTATAAGGGCACCACGAGGTGACCAGCCCCTCCCCACCCAGACCCACCCTCCCTACCCAGCCCCTCCCCACCCTCCCCACCCAGCCCCTCCCCACCCTCCCCACCCAGCCCCTCCCCACCCAGCTCCTCCCCACCCTCCCCACCCAGCCCCTCCCCTCCCCTCCCCACCCAGCCCCTCCCTGCACGACAGACACAATAATCCCCTGTGGGCTGGTGTAACCAGGAGGTTCCTACCAGTATTATTGTATTTGATACCACATTGTTACACCAGGACTAGCTCATGTAGAGATAACATGCTTAACAATGTACAGTCTTTGATTTTAAAAAAATCGATACAAGAAAGTGGTATTCCAAACTAACCTCTACATCATCTCAAGTCTCGTGTAAATCACGTGACTTGCGTGTGGCCACCCCCACTCTGAACCCCTCCCCTCTCTCCACCCCCTGTGAGAACAGATGCTCCGACCTTCAGCGTTGAGGCCCTGATGTCGCCTCTTCCTTCCTATCCTCAGCTTTCCTGACCCGTTGGTCACGTTTTTTCATTCCCTTTCCATCCTTTTCCCCTTATTTCCTATTCTTTCTCATACATTTCCATGCATTATATCCTTAACTCTTCTCCACATGGTGTATCACAGGTAAAAAGTTGTAAGTGGAATATAAAACGGTTTAATAAAGTATTGAATAAAATTAACATGTCTATTGTTAAAGGAACGGCAATTTCTGGGTATATAATACGTATTAGAATGTAGCGAAAAATTGGAACAAGTACACCGATTTAAATACCTTGGTGTAATCATTGACGATCAGTTGAACCATGAAGTCGAAATCAAGAGCAGAATTGAACAAGCAAGGCAAGCATTTATTAAATGGAAAACACTCCTTGCAGACCGCAACTTGAGTACATCACTGAAACTGCGCACACTGAAATGCTACATCTGGTCAATTTTGCTGTACGGAGTAGAGACGTGGACATTGACAACAACAGCAACAAAAAGGCTCGAAGCTTTCGAGATGTGGCTGTATCGAAGGATGCTGAAAATCCCATGGACAGCCAAAACCACCAACACACAAGTTCTGCAAGATATGGGCACTGACAGGCAACTGCTGAAGACCATCATTAGCAGGAAGTGTTACTACCTAGGCCACATTGCCCGAAACGACCACAAATACCAGCTATTAAAGCAAATCCTGGAAGGAAAAATCGAAGGGAAAAAACGACCAGGACGGCCAAAAACGACATGGCTCAGTAACATCAAAACATGGCTACAATTAACAACAGCACAAACTCTACACGCCGTGCTAGACCGGGACCAATATCATCGTGAAGTCGCACACGCCGTTAGGCAGCACTAAAGAAGAAGAAGAATGTAGAGCATCATTAATTTGTCCATTTATATGTCAGGAAGGGCACAGCTGAGAGGCACGGTCCATTGTTGACGGTGTGTGCCCCTTGCTGGCATCGACATGCCACGTGTGACTTGCATTGCAGCTGAAGGTCCTGGACCTCGCCGACAACAGAATAACACAGACTGTTGATCATATCAGCCTTCCCAAGCACCTCAATGTGAGTCTGTTATTCATTGTAATGTACTTACATGGCGGTGCCTTGCTCTCCTGAACAACTTAACCGATTATACGTGTAATCATCAATAACCTGCTGGCTTTATGTGCTAAACCGTTTTATTTACTTGTGTTGCCTGGCCAGGAATAATGCTCTAATATGAAAATACCATTGCGAATCCTATGGCTCGCAACTCTTTATTATTGCTACTTTGTAATTTGATGGACACATCTTGTTTATTTTGTGATAATGTTTTCCATAATATATTATGCTGGACCAAGGCATGTCTTTTCTTTGAGCTTAAGACAGTATATGAATTGACACACTTGTTCTGATCTTATTTTGGTTTACCATAAAAAGTTAACAATTTTTCATCGCTTATCATCATTATCGTGATCTCATTAACCATTTTTATGAAAGTTCTAAGCCTTGTTCCAATGTTGACTATCTCAATTACACAAGTCCACGTAGAAAACATGACCACTATATAATGTATTGTTGTACGAATGCATCAAATACGTTATGTTTGTAACATGATTGTGTTTTTTGTTGATTGGTATCTTGCACAGGCACTGAATCTATCAGGAAATGTTCTAAGTAGCCTTGAATCATTTGGAATCTTAAGGTGAGTGTCATGAGCACCGGTGCTGCATTTGAACGTGTTTGCATACCCAGTTGCCTATTTCTGCAAATATATATAATAATAATCCACTGCACAACAGAAGAGGGCAATAAAAGGTCGACTGGTGAAACAAGAGCTCACTTCCCCGTGACATTGTAGTTCCTGCAGGGTGAAGTTGTCGTGTCAGGAAATGTTGCCGTGACAATTCAGTCATGAGTAGTCGAGCTCTGATGGTTGACACGTCACACGTGCACCCACGACATGTAAAGCGGCACAGCAGTTGTAACCTAATAAAGGGCGATCTGCGGTAGATTTGTAATGGGTGTAATCAAAGCGGTTACCCCCATGCCAGATACAGAAGGTGGCTCGCTCCAATTTAACACCTCACATCAATGCATGCCAGAATAGGTCTTTCCAGAGTACTGTCGTAAAGACAGGTGTCGAATGTAAATGTGAAGCGTGCCAGATGGGATCTCATTTTAGTCATCGACCTGTGATGGTCTTCACTTAGTGCAGACTACACAACAGGGAGTCTCACCGATTTATTTCAGGTGCAGGTTGGGTTAAACCCAAATGGACTCGGGAAGCTTCGGTTTCAGTTAACCATATTTTAAAAACCGGTGTACACCAGTTAATATTTGATTAGCTAAGAAACAGCAAAGCAAAGGTTGCGTGTGCAATGTTTATTGCAAGGCAGACAAGAGATGCAGAGACAGAAATACAAATTGATAGACACATTTATATATTTACACGATGTAATCAAATTTTTTTTTTATTATGGCTGTTCGTACTTGAAACCAAATTATTTTTTATTTTTTGTTCCAGAACAAATTTTATTTGGATTTGCTTTTCAGTTCACGAAAATATTCTATACAAGTACTCATTTGATGTCTGCCGTTCCCCAGCTCCTTGCAGGACCTTGACTTGTCATGCAACAAGATACAGACTCTAAGAGACATTTCTGAGCTGTTCCCTCTTCTGGAGACACTGAACATTGCAAACAATTTGGTCAGCTCTTGGCAAGACCTGGTATGTGCCTTAATGTCACTTGAGCTCATGAACCTGCAGTAATAGTCAGTCTATAAGGTGCTTCTATTTTTGAGCACAAGGTTAATCAAATAAAATGATTGGCTTTGTGTTTCCAATATTGTTTCATGACCATTTGACATCACAAATGTTCAATTGTCACACGAACGATTTGGTGTTGGCACACAGGTGGCTACGATTGCATTTGAACCAAAAAATAATCATAAACTATCACCCAGCCACCCTAAAAATAATTTATTTTTAAATATTCAACGCAAGCTGGTGGTGCTCTCAGTGATATAAAGTGGTTCCAGTAAACATTTCCTTACAATATTTGTTCACCTCCTTTGTATTCTTCAGTGTCAAATATGTAACATAACAACGCACCTTAATTACCCAGGAATTCTCACCGACCCTCAACTTGTTTTTAACTTGGGCCTGCCGTGATGTGATTGGCCAATTCTATTAACAAGTGTTAGTATGTGGAAGGAAACTAGAATACCAGAGAAAGAGCACATAAAAGGTATAATAGTCATAGGTCTGCAGATGGATTCAAGCTAGATAGACTCAATAGTATTCCTCTGTGAACTGAATGCATTACTGTAATGTCAGACTTGTTCCGGTAGTGGTAACATTAACATCACAGGGCTATGAACGCCTAACACTTATTGGGGTGAGCAGAAAACCACGGATTTTTTATGATTAAACTGAACCCTGGTTACAGGGATGCCACACATATATAATGCCTAACATATATTTGTGTTCACCAAAACTGGTCGTGGAAGTGTGTACATCCGAAAATGAAAACGCCGCCATGCTTTCCAGTTCAAAATGTATTCTCTGTTGACACCTCTGAATGAATTCATGACGTCTGCACAGCAGTCATAATTTTTCGGCTCTTCAGAAACTTTTAGGCAACTGCATGAACTTACTGGAGCTGTGTGTGAATGGAAATCCAGCAATCACATCCAACAATGAGCACAGCAGGTACGTTGGACTCATCTCTACAGTGCACAGCATGTGGCCGCATGACATGAAACTTCTCAGTTCCACAAAACTTCTAAAGTCGTCTTGTTGTGACAGGTATCAGCAGGAGCTCACGAAGATCCTCCCACATTTGGAGATACTTGATGGGGTAATATTTAATTACTACATTTTTATACAGGAAAGCTTAACTGGAACATATTACATTGGCATGTTTGGCCAATTTGTTTTAACGAGTATTATGGGATTTCTCCAATGATGAGCGATGATTGATGGAAACGATGATGCTCATGATATAGATGATGGCAGTGACAGCAGTGATGACAAGAGTACTGATTATTACATTCCTAATAATGGTCCTGATGAAACTGTGCTTGCCAGGTATCAGTCACATCAAAGCAAGGATCCACAGCCATAAACATAAGGCCATTGACTGCCAATAGTGGTAAGATTCTTGGTACTAACCTCAATTTTGTCAACATTAAACTAGTTGTATACTTTTATGGTATATTTTTGTATGTAGATATATCAGTTTTTCTTCATGGCACTGGAGTATTTGGCAAATGTCAATACAGAATTGTTCTGCATCTAATTGAGTTTTCATTCCTGCCAGCAATGATTTCTCAGAAACTTGTGGGACAGATGGAGTCTTTGGAAGGGCAGATGGAAGCCACACTCGGGTCTCTCCAGCAGAGGTCTGTAACTCAGTTCCATAAACTGAAATAAAATAAACCGCAGGACATTTTAATATTGTTGCAATTATTTGCACATTGGTTGGAATTTGACAGTTTCCACCACTATATCAGTTGCTTCAATGGCAGACAGACAATAAAAAAGCTAAGCATTTAATAAAACGAATGTTAATAAGTTTAAAAAAATATATGCATTAAATAATTTTTGAAATGTCATTTTATAATTACGAAGATTATGCACGAGTTCGTATTTTGTAAATATATAAATGATGTTTACAAATACATAGTTAATTAAATGATCCAAGACCTATAACGTGACCCACTTCTTTCAACGCAGGTTCAGTGAAGTCAGATGCCTTGTCGTGAACTCATTACCCCAAGTGTCGCCACCCAGACCAACATCAGGTGGGGAACTGTTTGAACACATCGGGTTTTTGCTGTTAATATCCACGAATTTTTTTATATTAACAACACAAGCATGAAGTCCCCTACTCTGGGCATAGGGTTGCCAACTCTTGATGACTGAAGCTATTCTGGGAGATTTTTTTTTACCCCAACCTGGCGTATTGGCATTACGCTGCATAGGAAAAGATAAACGACATCAGATGACACCGTTACGTTTTAAAAATGTATCTTCTGTATGAATTGTGCATTCATTTTATATATTTACATTCTATTAAAATCTCACAGATTGCATGTTGAACTTCCTTTGCATCGTACGTAGCCAACCGTGATAATCGGAGGTGCTTTTTTTAATAGTTGCTTGTTTAAGTTCACGTGAGATCAATGTTAATTCCAGTAAGACTCCTGGCCAATCCAGGGTTGACAACCTTCATCTGGGCACTTCATGGAGTCCACTGAAGAGTAAATTAAGTGCATATTTAAACATGGGCTCTTAAAAATAAGTTTTCTTTAAATTGTAAGTCTTGTTTGATGAATACATTATGCTGCATCTCATTCACACCGGCAGTACCGATTCACATGCCTTTGACCGGAGGCACATGCAGCACTTTAAATGTAGTGAACACTATCAACCTCACACCATTTGCAGTCCACCCTTTACTTTTCTAACATGGAATGCTCTTGCCAATAATTGCTTAAAACCATGAGCATGTAACAAGCCCAACTGCTGACAGGATGCCGGTTGAACCAGTCCAGTTTTTTTTTGCCTAAACAAATGCAACTGAACAATATTAGTAAGGACCGATGGTCTAATACATATACTTTTATTTATATGAGCACTGCTCACATTTGTCCAGGATACACGTTCCAAGTGGAGGAAGGCAGGACATCAGCATGCACGAACCCGGTTCTACACCTAATATGGATAACGTCACATCAGATGTGTTCAACCGTACACTAGCAACACTTGTGTAATTTAGCACGATTTTAAGTCTAAAACGGAGCAATGTGTATATATTGACCTATAGCCAGTGCGCAACCACAGATTGATGAGAGCTTTCAGTGTTTTTTTTTTACGCAGGACCAAGTAACAATAAGGAAATGGAGTCATTCAGGCTTTCCAGCCAGTGCAGCAGGTAAGGACGGTGACATGCAGAGAACAAGTGAGGGACAGCCCCACATTTAGTAGGCAGATGGGGATCAGTATTTTCTGCAGGCCTGATGAACATCCGGATAAATCTCTCAAGCAGTGGGTGCTGCTAGACCATACATAAATAAGCTTTCACATGCCAGGCTTTCATTATTTCAAGAGCCTGCATGAGGTAAAAGGGAATGTTTTATTATGCAAGATTTGAAATGTTTCCAGCCATATATACTTTGCAAAATATTGTGTGTGTGCAGTCGTAAACGCATAGAAGACGCTAGAAAGTTTGCAGCAGATCACGACGGACAAGCTTAACTGCGTTTGACATCTGGATCAAGTTTACATGAAAATCGTTGGTAAGTTTTACAAACCAAGCCAAAACAACCCGTTTTGGTAACAAGTAAACCCGTAAAAACAAAGTGTCAGCTCGATTGGATCACGGGAAGTGGGTTAAAAAAACGAGCGAAAGATTTGCACGGTCCTAAGCAAGCAAGCAAGCACGCAAGCAAGTAAGTGAACTTATATACAGGATTTAAAAATAGCCATTCGATTTATAAACGTGCCATGTTTGTGGGTCTTTCCAGTATGAACCAACATCTTCATTATGCAACAAACTTTCAAGACAGGAGCACAATTAGTTGAAAACTTTATTGAAATACTCAAGTTTCTTGCAAATTCAGTATGGGAATAAACATAAATCGTGCCAAGTTATGCATGACAAATACATCAATGCTGGTCTTTTATAATGATGCAATCACAAGTGTCCGCATATTTAATTTTACCACCCTAACAACAAGTACTAAAGTTTGTCTTGAACATCTGGCTCAAGCCTTGGGACAGGGGTTGCCTATTCCCAAATGCAACAGCCACTGACTGTAAAAAGATACAGATGCAAAAAGACAAATTCGATGCTTCCATGGGAATTCCTCGCATTGTTACATTTAGCCAAAGGTAACAAATGAAAACAATCTCACAAACACCTAATTACACCCCCCCCCCCAAAGAAAACCTTGTCACCACCTTCTGTAAAGTGGGTACTAAAACCTGTACTGATGTCAACATGAATATTCACAAAAGTGACTATTTCCTCCCACCCCTCCCCCCCCGCTCTTTAGAAACCATTATTTTAACGGAATATAAAAAAATTGGTGCCACTGTTTTTCATCAGACACCACTACCGTGTAGGCTGCACCACGCACAAATGCATAGCAGTCAACTTTTTGACAAAAGCACACAGACAATACACTTACCGATAAAAAAGGAAAGGGAGACCACCAAGAAAAATGCTGCCAAGTGAGCAGGTGGAGTTGCCGAATCGTGCAGCGTCACAGACTGCTTTGTGAAACGGTGCTCAAATCTTCACACATCGATAACAAACAACGCCAAAGAGCAGCCCATGATGGAGCAGGTTGCACATCTAGAAATCGTGACAGTGGTATTTTTCCAGGTTGTAGTACTGTGTCACGACCACGCGGTTGGCAAACTTGCGGCCGCTCAGCGCCTGCTGGGCCCTCTGGCAGTCGAGTAGTGACGCAAACTCCACAAAGATCTGTTAAAGTACAGAGAAGGCACAGGGAACGGGCCACATTGGCCACAGGGCATGAAGTTAAATCAAAGCACTATGGATCAGTTGAGTTCACAAATATTTTAATGTAGTTCAGGTCATAGGTCTTAAATCGCTCATTGTCAATACCATAGGTCCCTGGTTCCTTCCAGTCAAGAGTTCATTTCTGCGATTTAAATATTACTCGAGAAAATCTTTGACCGACAAGACCCGCAGATGGATAAATTAAATCTATTATAATGTAGACATTGTTTAATGTGCAGAAAGCGGTGCAGGTGCAGCAGGCCGTCCCTCAGGTGTTAATAAGGCAGCAGCAGCGCGTGCGTGCGCCCTCACCTTGCCGCATCCCGGGATGTCGAGTCCGTTGACGGGTCGCGGGATCTCTACGGAGCGCACGGATCCATACTTTCCGCACTCCTCGCGGATGTCCTCCAAGATGTCCTCGTATTCCTCGTCGTCCACCAACTCCTCAGGGGTCACCATGTTCATGAGGCACAGCACCTCTGTGGGCAAGCCGCTGTGCTGCACCTGACTCGATGCCAGCCCCGGAACTTGCAGCGTCACGGGCGTCTGCACCACCACCGTCTGTTGGTGTGCACGCAAGCACACGCACGCACAGGTGTTGAAGCACATACTAGTGCAAGCAGATGATACTGTTCATTATTGGTAAAGTTCAATTTGTCAGTGGCTGCCCAAATTTAAGTTGACTTAAGACATTTTTTTACTCAAAACTGTAATTATAAAAACTTTACAAAAATTATATTCTTAAAAGTCCATTCAAAACAAAACCACTCATCATTACATTAAAAAAATGTGTACATCAATATGCTTGTGCGTTAACCACGAGTGTTATTATGGCTTTAACATTTAAATTCACCAAATGCAATTAAAGTTTCCAATTATAGACGAAGTTAGGTGACCTCTACATAGACTCCCATTTTTGTTGAAGGCAGTTTTTACAACATATGAGTGGCACTCACTGAAACTGGCTTCCCCAGCCTTACCACTAGCACTTTAAAATGAATGTCGAAAGTTCAACCTCCAAATGGTAAATTTAATGTGGGAATACAAACAAAATATTTTTCATATTGACAAATATATTTATCAAGCACATCACAAGTAATGCAAATTGCATAGATTTTACTATTGTGTGCTTGTGTTTAAAATAATCTCACTAAGTGCATTAGCTGCAAGATTTTTCTTTAAACAATCTAAATTCTCAGATTCAACAAGTAGTGTATGCATGTGCCATACCACGCCGTCTGTGTCAGGTGCTCCAAATACCGGGTTGGCATTCTTGGCCCCCACGCTGGCTCGCTGAACAATCAGCTTCTTGTCACCCAGCTGCATGCCATTCAGTCCTGCAATAGCCTGCACATGGGAGCAGATTGACAGCGTGTGAGGAATAGTCGCAGAGTGGCTGGATGCTCTCTCTTGACTGGTACTGGAACTACAGCTTTATATCATGGGGTTTTAGCTCAATGAGAAAACGCTAACCTCTTCCCACTTAACTTAAAAAAATGTAACCTGCAAACAACGCACACTTTCGTATTCGCACAAAAACCACTAAGGAACCAAACTTTCTAAATTCTAATTCTAAATTATACATGACATAAGGATGCTTTTGGAAGATTTCTCTGCAAGGTTTTCATCCATAGGAAAGGCTATGGCATGAAAAGTGTGAACCCAAAGTATTCCTTTGGGCTTGGACAAAAATGACATTGGGATAAACAAAAGGCGTTTACAATTGTAAATAGAACAATTCAAGTAGGCTACACAGATTAATTGGAATCGGGTGTTTGGCAGAGTATCCTTACAACTTGTAAGGATGCCTTCTAAATAAAACAAACAGTTCAAAAACCTTCTTCTTGTGCCATTTGGGAGGTAATGAACCAATATGTACATGTTCCTCTGGATTACACTTTAAGCAAAGCAACAGGTGTCAAAACATCAAAGCTCAGTTTGTACATTTGGTGTACATTTTGGGGTCAACTTAAGCACAATAATTAACATTTACCCTGCCAGGGTCGAATCTAGTGAGAATCAAGGACAAATCAACGCTTCCTAGGAATATATTACCAGATAAGCAAGGTAAAACTCACCTGGTCGGTGACATTGACGTCTGCGTACTCGCAAAAGGCGTAGCCCTTGGAGAAGCAGGTGGCACTGTCCTTCACCAAGTTGAAGGCCTTCAAAGGCCCGAAGGACGTGAGCAGCTCCTTCACCTGCCAAGTGAGGCACACGTACAGTCAGCAGGGGTTGAAGCGCTGGATACGAGCTCCACAGGAGGCAGATTTTTTCGGCAAAGGGTATCTCAAAAACCAGCAGCATCCATGAAGTTGCCTTAAAATGCAATTAAGTGGGCTTTCATATGCAACATGAACGTGCCGAGAATTTTATCATGCACACCTAGTTGCAGCCAAGCAATTTAACCGGATGGAAGAGACAGCTATAAATATATGCATGGGTAATACAGGAGTGATGCATCTACATTTAAAATTAATGTATAAAACATTTGCATTGGAAATTAAATGCAAGTGTATGAACAAATGAAAATCTATGTACCACACGAATAACTCTCGTTGCAATTGTGGAAATCACAATGCACTTGCTTAAACAAACTCAATGACAGTTTCTAGCGGCACATTTTGGTGGACATGTTTTACCAATATCTTGCAAGGAAAATGTTGTGCTATGCAAATATAAAAGCCCACTTAAGTACTAGATTTTTAAGATTTGTCATGGAAAGCTTTAAAGTTCCAATATATTTAAATATTTTAAAAAAGGGTTGGGACTCGCCAAGAATATAGATGCAGTGCTTTGCTGCACATAAGTTATGCAACATTTTCATTGACACTCAAGTCAAGTCCCAATCCGAGAGGTCACTCACTTAGACGGTTTCAGAAAATAGTGCAGTTTTGAATAAAAAAAAGTCGCGATGTTGGGAAAATGTATATGCATATGCTGTTTGTATGAAAATGTAGCTGTGAAGTATGTACCTTAAGAGTGATGGTTTAACATAATAAACTTTACGCCCCCGTTTCAGTGGATCGCAGTGGTGTCATGTTTTGCTCAGTGTGGATATTTATTCTAATCTACATGACAAGATAAAGTATGCTCAAGTTGAAGTAAATATACTAAGATTCACCCTAACCATATTTAAATGTACTCTCACCAAAATATATTTAATCTATTAAACTGTGCAATGCACACCGGAATAAACACAAGCAACAAAGGCATATTTTAAAATATTTTTGCAGACAGGTATGTACAGCAAAAGCTGTTATCTGGCGCTTTACCAATCGGGAATGTCCTATTAACCGGCATCTGTCATAAATGGCAAAACAAATCTTCCTTCACGGATCAGGAAAAATTCCAACGGCCATCCGGCATCTTGCCATGTACTTATCAAAGATCCGCTGTTTACGGAAACTTCAGGATGCTGGCGAGTAGTGGTGCTAGCGAAAGATGTACATACAGTACTGCAACCTCAATATGATATACAGTAAAACCTTGGATTGCGAGCATAATTCGTTCCGGAAACGTGTTTGTAATCCAAAGCACTCGCATATCAGTTGTGATCACGTGACGCTCGGCAGACAAAGCGTATACACGTACTACTCGTATTGCAAGACCTCGCTCGTTTATCAAATTAATATTTATTTAAAACGTTTGCTCGTCTTGCAAAACACTCGCAGACCAAGTTACTCGTAATCCAAGGTTTTACTGTACTCTAAACGGCCCCAATGCTTCACTACAATCAACTTAGAATGCTACAACTGTCTGGTGAGTACCTCTGTAAAAGAGTATATTTCTAATGTCGTACTTGGAAAACTTGGTGAAAAAATGGTTTAAATAGTTGGACAGTTTTTTAAACCATAAGTATAACTCAGATAACCGGCATATTTGATTAACCGGCACCCTCCATTCCTCATGGATGCCGGATAACAGAGCTTTTGCTGCATCTCCTTTATCAAGAAATGCAATGGTCCCACTGAGGTAGGGAACTAGAGCGCACCCCCCAGTGCTTGCAGGCACCCCAAGAGCAGCTTTTATCTCCATCTCTGGGGCAATGAATGATTAGGCGTGTCACTGGGAGCAGAGATCTCCGCACAAATATGGACACTGGCATAAATGTTCGTTGACAACCATCCATGGTTGTCTGTTTGAGGGTGCAAAAGCATTACGGTGGCAAAGCTATGCGGTGTACTTAGGGCACAGTTGCAGTTTAAATCAACGTTATTACCACAGCCGTTTCTCAGTGGAGTATTCGGCCAATTTAGCATTAGGGTGAATCAAAGCATAGCTTTACAAAAAAAATGCTCAAACAACAAAAAGCTGCCAAAAATCCAACTTCCCCCATAAACAAAACACTATCCTAATTGAATTTGTAAACACTGATCCAGGCCACACCAAGTGAACCCTCCCACAATCCCAAATCCTGACCCCCATGATTGGTTCTATTCCTTTAGGGGGAAGGGGCCAGAGGAACCAGAAGGCGCGGGCAGGTTTTGTTGGTGCCGGTCTACTTGCCTTTGTTAGCAGGCGGGTAGCACTGCCGCAGAGGGTCAAGTGCTACTGAACAAACGGTACTACGCGCCGCGACTTACGCTCTTACAGGCCCCTAGCTGGGGGATGAATTAGGGGAACAAACATAAAACAGCCATCAGTATCACAAACTGGAGGGAACACGTCTGAACACTTTCCTACACCGATTACATCGGCATTGCTTACTGATACGTCTTTCGGATTTACGGAACGTGCATGATGCAATGCGGCTTGAGAGCCCGCTTTTTTTATTAAGAAAATGCTACATTTCAGTGTCAATTGCTATATTTTTTACTCACAGCAGCATACAACATTATAATGCACGTTCCGGACTGGTAAGATCAATTTAATACTTTATGACCTATCTCTACAGAATGCACAGACGATTGATAATTATGTCCATACCTTATGATTTAAAAAGTCGCTAGTTAATGTCAATGGGGAATCTCACCGTTGGCGTACGATGCTCATTCAATGGAATTTCAAACCCTGTAAGCTGTGAAAAAACTGCTGAAAAAGAACACTCAGGCTCCAGTTGCAGAGAAGGCCCTGTATTTGGAGAGCTGCAATTTAAAACTCTTAAATGGCTGTTCAGATCCAAAGAAACCTAAAAACACAGCGATGCCCCGGCTTCTAGCACAGAGCCCTAAAAGCACCTGTAACTCAACAAGGAGGGGTGGGGGGGGGGGGAAATAAAAAATAAAAAAAGTGCGGGGAAAGAAAAGTATTCTTGGCCGCCCCTAAAACTTGACCCTGGATAACAGAACACCACGATCGCGCGAAACTGTACGCCCTTGTGAGACGGGTCCAGGTGCAGCAAGCCCTTACCTTGCTGAAACACACAACAAACTCAGGGAGAAAACACATTACCTGCACGTCCTCCCATGCCCACTGTTGTGTGGTCTTCTTTTATTTAACTACGCGCCCCTCGGAGGCAAGTGGGGGATCGAATGCGTTCATGTGTGCTAACACGTGTGCATACAGCATATTAAAGAGTGCATGCTTCATGGGTGTTTTCAGGCTCAGGTGAAAACTGTTGCAGATAAAGGTGAAAGAAAAAAGTAAACTTTTTGTGGTTCACATTATTCTGTTATTCTAAGATGAATGACAGAAAGAAGCATAAGAGAATAGTAACACATTCCCAAATTCCTTGGGCAAAAGGTATACATATAGATAGTGAATTTTTAAAACTTACCTGATCATCCGTCAGATAGCTGGGCAAACCTCCAATAAACAGCTTGTGCGGCGTGTCTTGCACAACAGTGGACACCACACCTACTGAATAGCATACATTTGCAACAGCAGAACCAAAATGAATAGCCAATCGAAGAAGGTGGAAGACATCATTTGTAACAAGGCATTCAACAGAGGTCAACATTGTTTTACCAGCAAAACCAGTGTAACAGGTGTCATGTGATGCAACTTTACACCTTGTGTGGTGGCTGTGACATTTCAGGAAAACCAGCTCGGGAAGACAAATAATAGGCATGCAACGAGTCAGGATTTGATTTGAGAATATGATTAGTTTGCCTTGTATTTTGGTGTTTTATGTTTAACATGTACTGGCTCGTTCAATTAAACAATTGGTTCATTAGCATTAGGTGTGATAAAATGCATTTATCCATTGACCAATACTGATGCATAATCTTTTATACATCAAAACCAAATGGTTTTTGATAAATTTTTGGTGTCTTCACTTCTGGAGTCACTAGAGGAGCTACTATACACGCAATGTTAAGTATGATCATCTATTGTTGAATCAAATTGTGACTGAATAATAATTGTGTCGAGGGGATAAATTACCCTAAATTAGCATATAATTTGCATACATAATATAGATTAATGTACTGCCAGAATAGATTTTGAAGTTGACATTTTAAGATGTCTAATTAAACATTCCAGAAGATACATTTGGGGAGGCATGAGTGACCGCTGATATAATCTTTGCCCACGTTCGCATATGTCACTCGGTGAAACTTCTGACAAAATTAGTAACTTGTCCCCTCAGAGAGGCAAGTGTGCTGCACAGCCCGTGTGCTGCACGAGCGCGACAAAGACCACCATAGGTTGCGCGTTCTCACTCGACGTACCTGGTACATGCAAAGCGGGAGACTCTGACATGCCAGGCAGGGGCTGGTAGTCGTGTGGGCGGCGCAGCTTGAGTGACTGGCCCTGGAAGATGATTCCGTCGAACGCCAGCGCTTGCGTCGTTTCATCCACTGACCGGAACTACGTAAAAGAAGTGCAAGCAATGAGGCGACAGCAGCTCTTTGCGAGGACCTGCACGGTGGCCCTGAATTGCAAGCATCTGGCCATCTGGATGCGCTAACCACAATCAACATTCTACTCGTACGACTTCACCCTTGCCAGTATGCCACACCAATACGAAAGATGTTTGGCCAGCAACGCTAATCGAAGTGCGGGGGAAGGACAACAAACTAAACACAAAAAGACTAACGTGTAAATTGGGTATTATTGCTGGTAATTGTTTTTTTCTGGATGTTCTGTGTTGACATATCAAGATTGCATTTTTGATAAAAAAAACCTAAGCCTCCAAAATACACGTATAAATATATTGTAATTATATCGATCACATTTTGCTTAAAGGATGTTAAAGCATGTTATAGAATATTTCAGATTAAGGTTTTAAATAACTTCTAAATCCCGTTACGATGCATCCCTTCTGAAGCCTGAACACCAATGGACAAGCAATTAATGTAAGAAAAAAATGAGACGTCGGTACATTAATATTAAGTGCTTTGCCCATTAATAGGATGTGTTATAATGGATGTAATTGTATCAATAGCTCTGTGTCACGTGTATACCTCAAGGAAGGCAAAGTTCTTGTCCAGGTTTATTTGGACAGCAAGAACAGGATTGCCTGGAGCCTGTGCCAGTCCTGCCAACTTCATCTGGTTGTTAAAGAAATCCATCATGGCCTCCTACAAGCAAAACAACAGGAAAGCAATACATTAGATCAATGTTGGATAAAAACGTATTTCTTGAATTGAACCAGCTGAAAAGAACTTGCAGAAAGGAGAACATGGGAGGGATATTCCAAAGTTGAGCAGTTCGAGGAAAGAAGCAGAAAGAGTTTTGACCTGCATTAAGGTGGTTAAACACAGTATGCAATAAACAAGTCATTCTGTGTAGACAAGTGTTCTCATGAAAAGTGGAGGAATCGTGTGCCGTTGCCGGGCTTCAGAGGTGCCCTGCTAACAGCACTTTCCCCAACAGTCTGTTCAGGCTCTTCAGGGGATCTTTGTCTTTGATGGTGTCGTGTGACGACGGAAGCTAGCGAGTGCACAGTGCTGCACCGTGCAGGGCACACGACCGTACCTCTGTGACTCCAAAGGGAATGTTGCCGACGTAGAGACGCCGCGCCTGGCGTGTAAGCTGGCTGCCCACGATGGGTACGGGCATCGCGGCGGGATTCGGCAGGCCAGCCACCGTTGCGGTGGTAGTCGTGGCGATGAGAGCAGTTGCTGGGATCTGGC